TTTGCACGAAAATTGGAAAGCAAGTCACTAACCTGTTTCTTTTTTTCTCTCATGTAAGTTATATGCTTGAGAAGTCTTGAGACACCTTCTACACCGTTTCCTTTTGATAAACTGGCGAAGAAGGAAGGAATAGTTATGTTTTTTCCCCATTTTGTGAAGACGTGTCGCTGCTTTCACACTCGTATGTTTGTTTGGCAAGAACGTGGCTCAAAAAATTTTTTCTGGCAGAGTTTCAATTTGGCGCCGACTATACCACGTGGTTAAATACTTATCCGTGATTGGTTTATCGCTTTTTTCCTTGGCAGGTGTCAAAGGCTTGTTAATCATCCAATCAAGGGCCAAATTCAGTTTCTAGGAAATGGCTTTTTTAATTTAACATTAGTTTATTTAAGTTACAAGCGAATTCAATTGATCTACTCTCCCTGCAGCCTTGCAATGTAGTTTTTTGTAATGTACTTTTTCTTCATACGGCGTTTCACAAATCTTTTCACTTTTTTCAACCCAAAAAATAAACGTTTAAGCGAATCTAGTCACGTGGTCTCCAAGGGAAGCACGAACATTGGGAGCAAAATACATGAAGTATCCACCTTCGTTTTGTTTCCTGGTGAGGATTTCCTTGTCTGCGATTTCTTTCGTGCATTTTTGACAAGGAAAAGCTAACTTTGAAGATGCCTAACAGATAGCTCGAAAGTAAGATATCTACAACAGACGATGGATCCGTCAAGGTAAGGCTAGTGAAACAAAATCAATTCTGTTGCATTTTGAAGCCACACCCCCCGGTTTAGGACTCTATAAAATAACCAGTGAACTAACCCGTAAAAATTTCAGTAAATAAATGCATTTATTCCTGATAACTTCAGTATGAAATGACTCTTTCCCTGGGTAATTTAATGAATAGACATTTTGACCGAATTCTGCAAAGATTCTTTGTTATTTCTGAAAAAATGTCTTTTAAAATAGAGGTTGTAACTTAGCTATTCGAAACTAATTATTCCATTTCTATAGCACACATCTAGAGAGCTTTGCCTCTTCTTAACTTAAGTGAAGGAAATGTGATGAAGTCCAGTCCCATTTGACAAGTAGGGTGATCCTGTTGCATGGAAAGAGCAAACACAAACATAAGGGTGCTCATACAGGTGGCCGGGCAGGGCGGGGTGGGGGTTTATATTACTGTTAAAATGGCACAATGCAAAGCATATAAACTCGATGATCAGTTATGTGTTTGCACCCTATTAATTTCTGTTATGTTCTGGCTTCCCTTGAGTGTGATCCCGTTTAATAACTAGTTGTCCATATAAAGCCAGTGTCCATAAAGCAGGATTTTACTGTACTTATGAAGAAATTATTTGTAATAGGCTCACCTTTGACTTTAAGTTTCCAGTATGGAAATTAAGATGGTCTGTGATAAGCTTTTCTTTATTGTTTCATTTTCCCCCTCAAATGTTACTTCTCTTGTTTGATAAATGGGTAGCATGTGTTTTAAAACTTCACCAACTTTGTTCTCCACAAAATAAAATCAAAAATCTTACCAATGAAAACAACCGCCATGATTCCGTCATGTGTGGTCTTCTGCAGTAAGGTATAAAAGCAATCTTAAGTTGTCCAGTCAAGTTTCTAGACTGTGTAGTTTTGCCATTTCTGGGTAACTCAAGCTAGCTCTTGCTAAGATAATTTAACAAATATTGAGGCGTCTCGACAAAAGAATTTGATGACATAATTCTAACCGAAGATATCTAAAAAAATAGCGGACATAAAAGTCAGGCCTTTTGATTATTTGTTTCAGACGTAAAAGAATCTACAAGAATCTCACAGTAGTGCAAAGGCAATCATGGAAGCCCATTATTAGAGTTTGAGGACACAACTGGGACATGGCCTCAGGGGGGGTACTGCCATATATGGGCTATACGGGTATGTGCCGCTGTAAAGGGTATGGTTTTCAAGCAGTTTACTCTAGGATAGGGTGTATAAATCAGCGCATTTAGGTCTAGAATAGGGTATCATTTTTCAGGAAACTGATCAGTTGGTTGAAGATTTTTAGTAACCTCAGTAGTTTCTGGAAAACAGGTACTCTAGGGTAGGGGGGATTTGGGGAGTTTACTCTAGTATAGGGTTGCAAAATTCAGCTGAGCTAGCTCTGGTATAGCAGCACATCCCCTCCCAGAAATTCCTAAAGTACCCCCGTCCGGGGACATGGCAGTGTGATGGAATAGGGAATACTGTGGGCCTTGAAATATTATTGTCAGTTTGAGTTAAATTATTAAAAGATAATGTGTCAGTCTTTGAGATAGAATTGCAGTGTAAATAAATTAACCAGGAACAAGTTCAGAGATCAATTCATTGGTTCTTTAAATAAACAAAAACTTCAGTTCTGTTGTTGACAGTTTTAATGACTGTCAGCCACCTTAATCAAAACTGAGAACATCTGTAGGTATATTACTCGCACAATGGGTTGGAGATCAAACCCAACTCTTAGGTTAAAGATGACTTGGGTGAAAATTTTTTATTTTGATTAATAAACATGGCTGCCACTGATAGTAACTGTCAAAAACAGAACTGAATATGTTTGGAGAACCCATGGATTAACTGTTTAGGTCAAACATTATCTTTTAGGCCAACTTAAGCCCACAGAGCTGAGAAAAAAAATTCAATGCCAAGCACCCTGTTTTCTTAGTGTCTGAATGAGCTTGCCATGCACTTATTTTGAGATCTAAATCCACCACTACAGGGGGTTTTTAGCCTCACTGACATTTCAAAGTTGGTGATGAAGAAAGCTGTAGTAAGAATTTGATTCCTTGACATCTCAAGTCTGTGAACTTATGCCTTAGAAAATTTTGTTACACTATTGGTGTAATCTCGGTGGACTAGCTGCATCAGTATTAAAAACTTAAATAATAAGAATGACATCATGTAATAACACTTTATTTTGCATTGGTGACTTTATTTAAGGTAAAACTTTTACAACCTTTGTTCTCAACATGTAACTGTCCTCTAAAATAATAAAATTTTATTGTCAACAAAAGACACTGGAATGAGTATGAGTGGTAAGAGACTTCACTGGTAATGCAGAGGGGATACGTTTAAACCCTGTTCAAGCCTGAATTTCTTTCAGATTTTCCCCTTGCAACTGCTTAAGTTGCATATACATATCTCTGACAATCTTTCATGTTAAATCTTTCTTCTACAGTTCATGTATTAAGTTTTGAATAATCAGGGGTGGATCCAGGGAAGGGACCCAAGTTAACATAATATTCCCTCTTTCCAGGAAATAAAACTGACCTCTCCAATAATGTGTCAAATAATACGGCATTTTTTTAACCCTTGGTCCCATTAATGACAAGCAACTAATTTCTCCTTTAAATTAAACTGCTCAATTAAGGTTCAAGGTTATGAGAATGCAGTTATACCTATCTCTGTACTCGACTCTTTTTTAACCTTAAATGAGGCACGTTTGAGGAACAAGCCACATTTCCTAGCGCAATGTTCTTAAGAGTGGTGGCCGGGAGGCCCTAGGGATCAGTGAACACATCACACAATACTATTTCCTGACGTGCAACTAAATAGAGGGTGTAATGTCTGCTTTTACTGAATTTGGACAAAGAGAAACACAAATATATTAGTGAGTTACGGCTACAAAAGTGGATACAAATAAATCAGCAGAGCAGTTTTAACAAAATGCCTTTATTTTAGCTGTTACTTTTACAAAAATTGTAGTTCTGCATCAGGGCCTGATAAGGACCCTTACTACAAACTTTTATCAAAATTAGTATCAAAAGCCTCAGTGTATGTCTGGCTGGCTTCATTCTTCTTTGAAAAGAATCTGGAAATGAAATGGATAAAACATTCATTTTTGTTTAGTGTTCATACCTCCTAGCTCGTCAATTATCCCTAATACCGCATAGGCTCCCATGCAGACGTTCTTACGCTTGTCAATGTAATCCTCTTCACAGCGAGGACAAAACCCTAAGAACGTCTGCGCATGAAGCCAAATGCTGTTATAATTTGAAACGATACAGTGTATAGCTACTGACAGTCATGATCCTTATCTTGTGTCCCTGAAAATTACTTAGTTCAGTACATCGTGCCGAACTTGGATAAACAAGTTATAAGTGGTAGTAAAAAGGAATGTATACGTGTAGTAATGAAAGTGTAAATGATCCTCGCACTCATTTTATATATATTTTCATTCATGAATATAAAAAAAAAATTATTAGATATCTCAGCTCTCAAATTCTCAGGGTTACACAACAGTTGATAGCCCTCAATGAAGACCACGTCTTATACCGTTTTTGAAGCAATCGATTGCAGTGTACTATAGTGGGCTAGTGAGCTAATAATGAGCTTACACCAATTAGTAAAATCCAACTCGTGGTCTATCATCAATGCTGCGTTCTGATTGGTTGAGTTACTACTAGGCTATATGTTATAGCCCACTAGTAGCTAAAAGCGCCGGCTTTTTGGTGGCAAAAAAGGAATTAAGGACTAGCTTTAACTAGCTAAAGTTGTTTTGTCTCGATATTTTTTGACCAACTAGTTGGATTTTACTGAAACAATTATTCCTCTCGCCCTCATGGCCTCTGAGTCAATAGCCCATTTGGCCTTCGCCTCATGGGCTATTGACTAAGAGCCCTTTCGGGCTCGAGGAATGGTTGTTAAATATCTTTCCTGGGTACCCAAGCATTTCAAGACAATAAAAATACATTAGTAGTAGTAATGATGATGATGATGAGAACGACGATGACGACGACGCTGATAATAATGCTTCAACACTCGTATTATGTTGCCTTCCGACATCAGCACTGGAGAGGCAGAAACAGAAAAGATCAAGAAATACCAGGATCTGAAGAAACGGGTAGGAGGGTCCTGGGAAAGCGAGTTTGACAATTTTGGATGATTTGGAACGATTGCACCCAGATTGTACCGGGATGCAAATCCTAGTGGGCATCTTTAACTGATGTGTAAACCTGGTTGTGCCACAAAGCTTTTACCTTGTTCATATCCATTTAAAATGCATTATCAAATTTCTCGCACTTTTGTCCCTCTGACACAACAGTCACTGGCACAAATGGATGTTTAGTGTTCATCAGATAGTTCTAAGTGAAAAAATTTCCAGGTTAGAGTTGGGCTATATAGTTTCGAATTTAGGTTAATAATGTCTTATTAGGTGTTAATTTAAAAAGTTATTACAGTCGTGTATCATGAAACCCCTTAACCAGGAGCCCATAACTCGAAGACTGCACTCCCTTGTGCCTGTGAAGCGGCGTATTCACAGACCAATCTATTTTTAGATCAATTTTCCTGCGCCTTATGACTATTAAATAAGTCTTACAAATCATTCAGCCAAAACTGGAGACCAGAAAATAGTATTTTTGATGTTTTGCAGGCATTTACTTTTTCTTTTTGTCATTATCATTCTATGGATGTGTAATACAATGAATGATGCTTTGATTTTCGTGGGAAAAATACCGCAAAATACTGCTAAAAATAAACGGATTTGTGAAAACGTCATTGCATAGGCTAAGTATGGCAGTCCTTCTTCCCTTTGCCCATCGCTTTTACCCCCCGCCCCCCCAAACACACGCCTGATCACATGTTACCCTTCACGAAGCCTTCTATCTGTTTCATCTGTCAGTAACATCTCTTTATGCATGTTTCTACAATTTAGTTCAGTTCATGCACAATAATTGATTAACTTGGAAACTTATGTGTAAACTAGAGGCTGAGCCTGGTGGGTCCCAAGAGGATTATACAGCAAGTTCAGAACATTTTCTCCCTTTTCAGTGCACAGAGTAAAAGAGCATAACAGGGATTTCAATTCACTTGTACATAACGTGTTCATCCATGCAAAAGGCCAGTTTAGGAACATGAAATATATCTTAGTTCAAGAAACATCTTGGAAGGATTAAGAGAGAGGTTCCACATCCAAAATACTTACATGAGCGTACTGTAGGCCTTTGTGTCTTTCATCAATACTAGCTTTCTTTCCAATCCAGACAAAGCATTCCTTGCCAGTGTCACAAATGAACACTAAAAAAGGTAAATATAATTATAAACAATGATTGTTATTATTGGATGAGGGTTTTGCGATATCTACAATAATAAAGGTCAAAGTAAGTGTTATTATCAGCTTAGGCTTGGCGAATAACACTTACTTTAACCTTGATTATTCTGGATATCACAAAAACTGAACCTAATAATTTATTGTTCTGTTGTACATCCATTGTTTTGAAGAGAAAATGGACAGACACAGCATCGCATGGAACATAGTTTGACATTGCTTTTGGAAATTGTGCATTGCAGGCACAACCTACAGAGTAGTCACTTAATCTGATAGCGGATAATTAACTAATATGAAGGTTGGGCTAATTACCAAAATTAACTGTAGGCTCTTAGCCAATGAGAAAGCAGATACAAGCACAATTTACAATCATCATCATTACACAACATACAATCCAAACCTGAAAGTTAATTTAATCTCCGCGTAATGTGATTTAGACCACCATAAATTCAGTGTTATTATACCAATTTGAACAAAAGCATTTCCTTACCATCGTTACTATCCAGTTTTCCTTTTGAAAAAATGCCTTGGTCTTCCAATTCCAAATGCCCACTTGCATCACTTAGTTTAAAGATAGTTTTCTTGAAGTCATCATCTCCAGGCTGTAAAGAAAATAGTAAATCAAAGTGAAAATAATCTACCAGGGCTGGGGTGGGGGTGGGAACCTTTCCCCATCTACTAAGTCATTGAGGGAGCCCAAGTCACTTGACAAATTTAAAAAGGCCACCTGCAATGTAACAATTTGATTAATTGATAGTTAGTTCTTAGTAAGTTCTAATTTAGTTATAGATTTGTCTTTTTCACTTAATGTTTTATAGTAGGAGGACCCCTCTCTAAAGCACTTTAGGCTTATTTAATGAATAAAATTATTGATAGTTAGTTCTTAGTAAGTTCTAATTTAGTTATAGATTTCTCTTTTTTGGTAGGAGGACCCTTCTGTAAAGCCTTTAGGGTGAAGTAGGCGTCCTCATTAAACATTGTCATTATTATTACTATGAAGATAACCTTTGGCTAGTTTGATCATAAATATGAATAATAATAGAAACAAAAGAATTTCTAGCAGTCACAACAATAATTTTTTTTGGACACTAGGCATTGGGCTAGCAAGTTTAATATATCACTTGCCCATGAGGACAAGCCACTGATCGAAGAAAAAACTGAAGTGTTTCAAAACATGACAAGTGTTTGCAGCCCATCCTAGAATTTTAGAACTTTCATGACTCTTTATCGAGTCCAGACAGAAATTTTCTGTTCTTGAGACAAAAGAAGAGTTCAGATTTGCTAATCTCTCAGCACTACTGTTGGAGTCAACACAAGTTCCACAGTATGAATTGCAACCAAGGATATGTTTTCTTTCCAACTTAGTTGAAAACTTCTTGACCTCTTATCGCACATCTTTTTTGCTTCATGTTGTGTGTGGTCCTTTGGTAAGCCATGAATATCTGCCTTAGCATAACTGGCCATTTTCTCAAAGTTAGTTTTTTAAAAGAGCTTCTTCATTCTTGTGGTAGGGCCTCCAGGACCTATCGCCTTCCCACATCATCTGATCTGCTTTTAATTTCCCGTAGCACAGTGTCAGAGGTCAGAAGGTATTGGTGTAATCCAATCACTTCTACCTCTATAATTTGGATGACTGTCATGACACACCTCAGTGAATGGTTCTGTGTCAGGCATATCTCTCTCTTGCCCCACTCAAACATTCCAAACTACGGCAGTTAGCCATGAGAAGATTCAGTCTATCGCTGTTATAATATAACCTTAAATATGTGAACTGTCAAGTATTTTTTCTTTACCTCCATGTCACCTGATGGGTCTCCAGAAGGAAGTACCTTGTCAAGATGGAACCCTAAACGATCATCATCTAATGCAAGTCATAGTACAAGTCAATGTTAAAGACATCATTACAGAATCATCAAAGTATCATTTTTGTTTTTTAACTTTATTTACAGTCAAACTTATATATTAAACTTTAGTGGTCACCCTCTATTATGCAGTCACTTGCAAAACCTCTGGAAATACTTTCCCTTAATTCTGTGGTTCCAGAAAATATCTATACTCCAATAAGAAGTGAATTTCATTTGCCTGGATTTTCCATTTCTATTATAAATGATAAATTATTTGAAGGAAGATCATTGCAGTTATATACACAACTTATGCAGTTGCGAAAAGAAAGCCTGAAACTGTGATGATCATCCTTCAAATAATTATTCACTTCGCAGTTCACATATATGTTTTTCATATATTCATAATTTCATCATCATCCTTTCACAGGTTTATAACGAACCAATTCAGCAACCTGCTCCCACTTGGCTTGTGAGCTTAATATTGGTAGAGAGCTACACCGGTATCGCAGAGGTCAAGGGTTCGAATCCCGTACAAGCCTGAATTTTTTTCAGGCTTTCTTTTCGCAACTGCATAAGTTGTGTATATAACTGCGATGATCTTCCTTCAAATAATTCTTCAATCCGCAGTTCACATAATTATATATTTTTCATTTATTCATAATTTCATTAAAAAAAATGGTGAAGTTGAACTTATTTATGTCTTCAAGATTATGATCTACCAGGTCGGTAAGTATCAAAATTTAATTTGGAACTAAATTCAAAAATGAATTTGGAAAAGATCACTTGGAAAATCATTTAATCACCCAACTGCTCCCCCTGTGGAATATCATGGGCCTCTTAGAAAACCACATCCCAACCATGGAATTTCCAATTGCCTCCATGGTGGAGGTATGGATATTTTCTGGAACTGCATAAATGCGGGGTGACAGCTAATAAATATGGTTTGACGGTATCTATTATTGATTTTCTAATTCAAAAATTTGGGCAAAAGCAACTTTTCAGCAACCAACAAACTTGTGGGAATCACACTGATAAATTTATAGGGAAAGGGAGTGAATTTCACTCAGTTAGTGGGAACTGAAATTTGAACTTACCAATAACCTCTGTTTTTACACCTCCTCTTTCAGACTAAAACATAATTACAAGAAAAATAATAAAAACTAAAAGTAAAAATAAAGGAAAACGGGCGAGGGTCTATAGAATAAAAAAAAAAACAGAGTCAATGATAGTTTACTATTTACAAAACTGTTGCGGAGAATTCAGTTGGAGAGTAAATGGAACAAGATCACATCCAGCTCTTGGGTCATTGCAGTGAAAAACTTCCAAGAGAAACAGAATTCCTGAAAAGGTGGTCCTGTATTCCCAGCCAGAAAGTTTCAAAGACAAATTTGTGTTCCATATCTTCAAACCATATTCAGGCTTAACTGCAGCTGCTTTTTGGTACATGAAACTGATTTGTGCGAATGGTATGCATGATTCCAGGATGAAATTTAGCAGTCCAAAATATTGCTTAAGATTTGCCCAAACCATGAATGGACCACCTATGTAGGTGACCTCATTGTTAATAAACCCTCTTAATGACTTATTGGCACTGACCTCCAACTGTTGCAAATACTGTGCAGCTTTGATACGCTCATCCTTATCAGACTGACTGCCATTGATCTTAAAAATACAGAATATATTTATCTATAATTATTATCATCTCAATGCAAACATGCAACATTGGGTTATAATTTCCAGAAAAATCTATACTTGCAATGAAGGGAATTGATGACTCAGAAAAATCAAAATCCCAAGTTTGGTTTTGGTGTCCAAGCAATTCTTTCTTAAGGATCACTATGTCTTAAACCTTTTTTGTTGATCAATAAATGACTTTGAAAAAATGTAGTAGACTATAAAGAAACTTGTACATTAAGGTTACCTTTGTAGTAAATATATTAATTTTTGTGGAGACCAAATCCATTAACTGCATGTTTTGAATGCAACATTTGTTGCCTAAATTGCTATTATTAATTATGAATATCTATTTTTAGAAAAACTGGATCAATAAACTGTGTTGCTGTCATTTTACAATAAAATGGAAGAACAGTGAACATCTTCCAAGCATATAATAATAATCATGGTCTTTTTTGGGAAGATTAATCTGTCTGTTGTAGTTAATTTTTTATCTCAGGTAATTTTTATTTTTCCTTTCTTTCAACTTCGTTAGCAACATTACCATACCAGGAAACAAAGGAAAAACAAAAATTACCTGAGATAAAAAATTAACTACAACATATATATGTTACAGGTCAAATTTGATTTCAGGTTAACAATTTTTAACCTAGACTGATTCCTATTTTCTTTTGTTTTCTAGGGCTAGGAGACATTGGAAATTGAGAATCAACCCAGGTTAAATCAAAATTAACGAGAGGACAACCAGAAGACCAACAACTACTTAGAGAAGGACAGTTGAGAAAGACTGAAACCAAGCAGGGTGGAAGAGCTGGGAAGTAGCCAAAGTGGTTGCACAAGACAGAAAGTGTTGGTTTGACTGCACGGATGTGCCTTCTCGTGCCATGAGACATGGTGATGATGATGATTATTATTAATGGATTGAAGAACCCTACCCGGGACCCTCCTTGATAGCACCCATTTTAAATGGGTGATAGTACCTTATATTTTGTAACCTTTTCAGTAGTCCTGTATCCACCCATTCAAATGTATGTCAATGCATGTTTGTGTCTGAGTGTATGTGTGAGAGAGGTAACAAATTAATAATGACTGAACCAGGTAGAATTGGGGCTTACCTGCCAAACTTTTAATCCAGTATCAAGGACATAGACATTATCAGGGGTGATGCTTTCTTTGCAGTAAGGTACCTGTGTGATCACCACATTGCTCCTCCGGCCTCCCTGCAAGAAACCATTAACAAGGGTTACAGACTGATGTAGGTGTTTTACCAGCATTTTATGGACCACAAAAAGTCCAAATATTTGAATTTCCAGGTCACTCCACTGGGTAGTGGACAAAACACTGGCCTCCAGATCATTGACTACCCCCATGGACTACCCAAATGGACTACTCTGAAATGGACTATACCACTGAAGTTTAGTGATTTGGGTTAAGGGTTAACTGCAAGAGTGCATCAGTTTCCATTTAGGGTCTTAAGGGTCTATACAAGGAAAAGTGGCCTCAAACTTGACTCACCCTACCCACCATAAGAGTTCCAGTAGCTCAGTGGCTGGAGTGTCCGAACCAAAACTTGGAGGGTCGACCATGAGTTTGATTCTCACCTGGAGCTCGTAACATTTTTCTGAGCTTTCTGGTGTTTGAATTTTCCTTCTTCTTTAATAACTTAGCAACCGTGATGCAGTTTGTGTTATGTTTCTGTACCCTCAATGCTCAGGGATGTCATGATCATTAAGATTTCAAGTTGCCAGGTAAATACAACAAGTAGGTGGGGAATAAAACAGCTAGGGATTTCTTTTGGTTCTACATTTCTTCCATTTACCTATGAAAGAAGCCGGGGACCACGCTCATAGTAGGTGGGGGAAATCCCTAGCCCCGCCTCTTAATGACAGCTCTGAATGCTAATACTCCAACTGCCCTAATCTCCTAGCATAGACATCACACGGTGTGTGCAGATAACCATAAACATTGCAATACTCAAAATACTTTCCAAGGACTTTTACAGGTCCCTAGAGTAATTTTAAAGCACTACTTCATCTCACTGCATAATTCTCAGAGCTATGCATTTATCCAACAACAACATTGGTGGCTGAAATTTAACAGGTTTTTAAGACTATGCAGTGCTCGACTTTCAGAAAAAAATCTTGGGGCCAACTGGCCCCCAAGTTTTCATTTCTGGTCGCCAGAACAAGTATTCTGGTCGCCAAAAATTATATTTAAGAACTAATGGGATAAAATAGACTTAACATCTTTAACGTAGCCTTAACAGAAAATGAATGGTTTAGACTTCCTTTGAACTTTCTTTCGAATGGTTTTCGCTGACGCTCGATTACCAGTCGGTGTTCTGTAAAATGAATCCGCACTCAAGCGTAAATCTCCTCAAACAGGTATTCAAGCTTAAGGTTCAGGAAATGGAATACAAATTAAAAAAACAAAATTTAGGGATCACAAAAAAACTTATTTGGGTTAAGAAAGAACAAAATCTGCAAAATTTGTTTTGCGTCCTATGTATTTGCATGTTCAGAACTCAACATCGGTGAAACTTCATCTATTGCGCGGTTGCCAAACACGTGATCAAAAGTCTCCAGAAAGACCAGAAAGAGGAAACGTTGCTAATGTTTTCGGGCAAAGAAGTTGATTTCGCGAGAAGTCTATTAGACAAACAGCATGACTTCAACTTTACTTCATTAGAAGTCAATAAAATACGGCAGAGCTTTTATTTGCGTCGTCAAGCTCAACAGAAATTTGCGTAAAGTTGTTTACAAGAATTGCGAAGCTCGAGAAGTAAGCGCCGTTCGCTCTCGATTAGCTTCGATCAGCTTGAGCTTTTATCAGACTAATCTGCTATCGAGTCCGCAATCGAGATACATGTTCGACATAAAGAAATTGTTTTAAATATCGATGCGCTAAAAGTCATTCCCGGAGAAACACGGGACGATCTTTTGAGAATTGCAATCGATTTGTCCGAAAGTCGATAAGTCTTCCGTCGAATTCATTCATTTCACAATCCTCGTTCAAGTAAACGTAGATTAGAGTGTTGGAAGAAATCGTTAAAGCCTTTAGACAAATCGTTAAAACGTTTAGACCAACCGTTAAAGCGTTTGGGCAAAACGTTAGAGCGTTAGAAAAACCGTTAGCTATCCGTTGGTTGTGTAAAGGATAACAAATTATGATTAGTGTACGTTTATCCAAAGAAGAAAATCACCTATCTTGGGGGCCAGGTTGGCGACCAGGCGTGAAAATTTAGTCGCCACTGAGTAAAAGCTGGTCGCATTGGCGACCCCACGGGTCGCAACGTCGAGCCCTGAATTTAGGTTGTTGTTGTGGTTGCAATAAAAATTCTTGTTACTCTTGCGTTTTTGCGAAATTTGCTGACTTCTCGAAGCCCTTCTTGGCCTTTTCTTTTTCTAAGTCTAGAATTTTTTTAATTTGTTATTCTTGCTATTCTTTCGATATTTGTTACTCGGTCTTTTTACATAGCAAGAAAAATTATTGTTCCATTTGCGATCTTTGAGAAATTTGCGGACTTCTCGGGGCTCTTCTTGGCCTTTTCTCTTTCTTAGTCTAGAATTTTGTTAAATTTGTTATTCTTACTACTTTTGCGATATTTGCAAGTGAGTGTCTCACAAAATTTTCTTGTGAATCATTTTTTTCGCCAAAATTGCGAAAACAATTTGCTAGCAAGATCGATCCTGGACATATCGAGAATGGCACAAAGAACCTGAAGTGATTGTCTCCCAAAGTTTTCTTGTGAATCATTTTTTTGAAAAATTCTTGTTACTTCTGCGATCTTTGCGAAATATGCGGACTTCTCGGGGCCCTTTCTCGCTTTTTCTCTTTCAAAGTCTAGAATTTTGTCAAATTTGTTATTCTTGTTATTCTTGCGATATTTGCAAGTGAGTTTCTCACAAAATCTTCTTGTGAATTGCTTAAATTGCCAAACAATTTGCTAGCAAGATCGATCCTGGGCATATCGAGAATTGCACAGAGAACCCGAAGAGAGTGAAAAGAAAGGAAAATAGAAGAAAACGTTTACTTTGTGCACATATGCGCAAAAATACAAGCTGTGCCATGCACTGGAGAGGAAACCAGGAATAGTTCTTCTTTTTAATTTAAAACCTTGAATAGCTTTGCATCCTTTTGTCGAGGTGGTCTCTAGTTAACAAAACGGCTTAAGAAGCTAGATCAAATGGCATTTTTTGCAAGAATTAAAGGACCAGGAGCCCTGAAAGGACTCATTGGTTTCACCGTAACACATACCATTCATGTAAATCATTACTAATGGCACGACTTTTGTACATTCAAAACACTATTATTTTTCAGTAGTTGCTTTCAATCACCTTCAAGATAGACGTCAAGCACATCAAGGGCATCATCCCTGTCAATCAAATGTATGGCAAAAATTAGTTCCTCTAATGTCGAGTCAGGATATAATCCGCCAAGATGCTGAATTAGGGCTTCTGTAGGGGAGACGTTTTCTTCTTGTGACGGTGAAAGGTCATCCAGAGTCTCCTGTTCAAAGTTAAATAGTCCTCCAAGGTGCCTCCAGTTCTTCACTCTGTTTGTACGTTGCTTCTGGTTCAAGAGTTCACAAACGTTCTCCATCACGTCCAATTCTTCCATCAAGTTTTTCAGCAAGTAATCTTCTGTAACTATAACAGAAACACTTTATATTGTGTTCTCCTAGCAGCAATATTAAAATTAATTCATAAATTTACATATTAATTCGTAAAGTTTTCACTCTGTTGTTGAAGTTTTTGTACAGCTGTGCTTGATCGGGTATCAGCATCATCAGTGACCTGCATTAAATATGCAATTCTGACCGAGCGTAAGGTCAAGATAGCTGGGTATTGGCTAAGTTTTCCATCATTCAAAACTTATTTGGACAAGCTCCATCTTGACCAAACAAGCTTGGTCCATAAAGGATTTATTACATGTCAAAAAGACAAAATCTTTTCCTTTGGGACGACACGGTACAGCACGAGCGGGCACACTTGAGTAGTCAAACACTATACAGGATTCCCTCAGACAGCGTAGCCAATCAGAACACGGAATACATCCCTGTTGGGTTAAATTCAAATGTTATTATTACCTTCAGTACATTCCCTGATGGCAGTTATCACATCTCGTCTTTTTATTGTCTTTAAATGAGTTATCAATGTCCCAACAGTTGTTCGAGGAAAGTGGATTTTTACAAGTTTAAACAGCGTTTCTGCTGCGGGATACTCAGTATTGCAAGTCTCAAAGGTTTTAAAGTCTGCCCGTGGTATTTTCAGTGATGAAGCCAGATGTGACCATTTTTTTAGACCGATCTTCTGCATGTCCATTAAGAAGGCTATCTCTCCAATGATGTCTGGATCAGTGTCAAACAAACTGCACACAGGGGTACCATTATCTACCGTGTCGTAAGCTGAAAACACACAAATAACGGGTCATCCTCGGTGTAAAAACCTGTGAAGTTTTTCTTTGTTTTCTAGCTATTATTTCCCTTGGCTCTCTCAGTGGCTTCTTTGTATTAATTGTTTTACATCACTCGCGAGTTTCACAGGTTTTTACACCAAGTATGAGCCTAAATAACTGCCAGAGTCAAATGAGTTCAAACAGAACGCGACAGTAGAGAAGAGAACTGATGACGTCACAAGAACTAAATTTGTAAAATTATGGCATAGGTTGCCAGGTAAAAAAAAAAAGAAAACAATATGAAAAATGTCCACTTGCTAAAAATGAGTCTGTTTGTGCAAATTGGTGGAGAGATGAAATTGTCAAATCTGATTGGCTATCAACTGCCCTGATTTCAGCCTTAATTGGATAGTTTAATAGGACAGTACGCGTCATGCCTAAGTAATTGGACAGTACGCGCCATCACGCGCGCCCTTAAATGGTTTTTTTTTTCACTTCTAGCAAAACAAAATTTCGAATTTCTTGTGTTTTGATTTTAAAAATAGCCTCTTATGTTACAAATTTTGTTAAAGTTATGATTAATTGGTAACAGAACTTCGTGTCGTCCAATTCGGTCTGTAATCATACACGTGATTAAACAAATCGGACTCCCGCTACGCGGTCGTCCGATTTTGTTAATCACTCGTATGATTACAGACCGAATTGGACTCCACTCAGTCCTGTTACCATATAAGTCTTCCGTCGAATTCATTCATTTCACAATCCTCGTTCAAGTAAACGTAGATTAGAGTGTTGGAAGAAGTCGTTAAAGCCTTTAGACAAATCGTTAAAACGTTTAGACCAACCGTTAGAGCGTTTGGGCAAAACGTTAGAGCGTTAGAAAAACCGTTAGCTATCCGTTGGTTGTGTAAAGGATAACAAATTATCATTAGTGTACGTTTATCCAAAGAAGAAAGTCACCTATTTTGGGGGCCAGGTTGGCGACCAGGCGTGAAAATTTAGTCGCCACTGAGTAAAAGCTGGTCGCATTGGCGACCCCACGAGTCGCAACGTCGAGCCCTGCTATGACTATGTAAGCCAAAATTGATGTACAGCACTAAGGTAATGTAAAAGGCTTAGATAATAAAAATGCAACTGACCTTGTTCCAAAAAATTAGTTCTTATTGTAATAATGAAACTGTTGAATGTTGATCAGAATTCATCAAACACAAAAATTCAAGACATTTACATGTACCTCATCATTAAACTGCAATAAACGTGGCTTGTACTCTTTCGGCCCAACTCTTCTAAAGCCAGTGTCAGCCCTAAAAAAAAAAGGCAAAAGGAACGCCATTTGAAGCTGGTCTGACTACATGTACTAGCTTTTTCTTGTCAGTACATCTGGCCCCAAAAAAATCCCAAAACGATTTGCTTTCTCTCTTCCCCTCTTCTTTTGCCTTTCTTCTCCATTTTTTTCCTTTTAATATATTTGAGGACATTTACTCATCTGCATTTCAGCATGAGATGTTTCCCTGAAGTTCCAGGGGATTGTAAAGGTATCTTGAAGGAAGCACAGGTGGGAAGTTGAACAAGATTTTCATTGGAATTTTCTGACCGGTCAGCTTTACCTTGCCTATCTGTCAAGATGGTGTCTAGGGTTCTTCAAGTTGATGGCATGAAGAAGCTACTACTGTACATGTGGGTGCTGAATTATAGTTTCTGAGTTTTGAGCTAAAAAATGTTCTTCTCTTTTTTGACCTTAATCTTTATGGCTTTTTTGATGATGAGTCAAATTCACACATGCTTTGATTAACACAAGAAAGAAAAAAGCTGTTGTCAAAATATATCTTGTTTGTAATACCATCACCTGCAATTCATCAACAATACAGGGTTATATGGTCACTTATAAGAAAGTACCAAGGTAATGAAGCGCAGGAAAAAATCACTAGAAATTATTAACGTACCCTCCATCCATAGTTTCCAAAACTTTGAAGTAAGATTTAAACAGGTCACTTTCAAATTTCATGACCTCACGGTGCTGAATAGGCTTATCATTCAACTACACAGGAAAGAGACATGCATGACTGAGTTATTATTTTATTTTAAACCTGAAATCAAAATCAGGACTGTCACTAACATTTCAAGTTGCTGTGTACATGCAATTAGTAGGTGAGGAACTGAACAGCAACCTTGCCTAGCCTTTAGCCTTGGGAAGGGCGGGGTACTCTAGAGTTTACAGTACTCTCCTTAAACTAGCTCTTAGCTCAGCAGGTAAGGGACCATTCCCTACTGGTGAGGCAAACATATGTGCCAGAGGAGTTTTAAATTTTTCGTTCTACTTCTGGGATTTTTTGGGGCAAAAAAAATTTACCAAGTATTTTTATGGGTGCATTGATTTAAGCAGGGATTTTAAGGGGGGTATTCAACACAATCTGATAATTGGTGTAGTACTGTGCGAGTATGTTAGCTCCATATTTCCTGCCAGATAAAGTACAACCAGACCTGTTTTGTGGTTAATAATTAAGTATTTATAATGCTTTCTATTGATAGAGTATGGGAATGGGATTATTGTTTGGTCCAGGATTTTTTAATTTAGTTGGAAACCCTAGGGATTTTTGGAGAGCACAAAAAAGGCATAAGAGTTTCTCGAGGCACAGCGGAGAGCACCTCTAGCCTTTTGAATAAACTAGGAAAAAACACTAAGAATCACAGGCACACAGGGTAAAAACAAGCACGATGACCCCATCTTTTTATTGCAGTTTTTCAGTTTGCTATATATGGCTGTCAATTATTGTGCAAAGTTTAAAAAATCGGGATAGTACAGATCCTTTTCAAGGGATGAACAAAACAATAAATAATTGACAAAACTCACAAAAGTGTCCAGTTCAACAGTTTTGTATGCTGCTGTTCCGTACTCGTCTTGTGTTGACTCTTTTCCAATCCAAAAATGGACATCATACAAAAGCTGCAAAATATCATTTATAGAGAAGAAAAAAGGCACATGTAAGGGCAGGCTCAGAGTTGGCCACAAAACTGAATCAAGAACTTGCCTTTAATTTTGGGCAAGCTGATTTTCTTATTTTCATCTTACTTTGATTGTGCTTTCTGTTTTTTGAAGTAGTACAAATGGAACTATAGCGTCTTTTAGTTTTGAGCTATTTTCCAAGTTTATCAAATAATTATTATTGTACATATATTAAGAACCTTGCATATTCAGGGGTCTAGAAGCTGGAACCTGGACTACTACAGTTACTTATGGTGATAGATCTTTTGCAGAAACTGCTCCGAAGTTATGAAATCAGCTAGCGCTTTCCATTAGACAAAGTAACTTTGCTGTTAGTTTTAAAAGGGCTTTGAAAACCTATCTGTTTCATGAGAGCTCTTTCTTTTAGTTGTAAAAAGCATCAAGACATTTATATGTAGAAAGCGTTTTTAAGAACTTTAATTATAACTAATTTAAAATTGTAACATTTCTCTACCTCATCACTTTCCTTGTCCTTGTAGGTGTTGAGGATGATGTATGAATCACCACTGTAGAATTTGCCATAATCTTCTTTGGGCCAATCTGTCACCTTAAAAAGTAATAAAATAATAAAAATAATTTATTGGAGATTACGGAGCTAAAAAAAGTGCTAGCTTGTCTAAAAAGAAAATCTCTTGACACAAACTTCAAGGTGGCTACCCGTTGTTAGGATTTAAACAAAGAATTAAATCCAATTTAGTTTTAAGCCTGCCTGAACGAGGTAAATTAACAGATACAACTTTCTCTTTTCCGTTTAAAAAAGATAAGCAATATTTTTTAGCCACAAGTTTACCTTGTAGGTAGTTAATTATGTTCTAATATGTTACGAGATCACTTAATAAATGGGGACCAGTGCAACTGCAAATAGCCTCATTCTTTTCTTTGATAATCCTTCTCTGTGTAATGAGGGGGTTAGGAGGCTTTTGTCCAGAGAGGTGGGGGGGAGGGGAATCTCCAGTTCCATATGAAAATTTAAAATCCCAGGAAGTGGTGGTGGTGGTGGGGGGTTGAGTATTTTGGTTGTGACAACAACCCAGGGGAGGTTTTGTGTCCAGCGGTTTTCGTGAAAACAAGGGTTTGTGGGGAGTTGTTCAGTCTCACGGGCACATAAAACCTCCCTTAGGTAGATCATATTTTGTATTTGCCGAGTATTTTGTGCAACCATGCATTCCTTTTCTCCTTGCCCTAAATTTCTTAACCAGTAGTTCGCATTATCAACCCATGGATGCAAATCTTGATAGATAGGACTGTCAGTCATATTTTAGTGATTTGAAAACCTAGACTAGCTCCAAGTCATTCAGACAATAAATTAATATTATTTGCATTGATAGCAATAAAGCAGATATTGCACCCTTAAAGTTCTAGAAACAGAACCATGCCTCTAATCACTTATTTACTTATTAAATAAGCACAATGACACTGTTATGCTGTTTAGCAAAAATTTAAATTATGACATAAGTTGGTCTTATCTGGCCAGTCGAAGTTTCTTTTGACACCTCCACACAACTCTAAATATATTTATATAAAAAAATGCATCCAATATTTGTATATTTATTGCCAGTTTCCGGGTATTTTAATAGAGTTTACTACTGCACATAATATTTTAATGAAACGAAGAAAATGCATATTATTGATGTCTTGGTCGTCGACTGCTGGGACCACAATTTAATCTGTATTGTGACCAGCTGATGCACCGAATTGTCCAGAAGAGAGAATAGTATACCGAAAACGAAACTCATGATTCTAGAAATGACCATTGTCTTTCACCACTGCACTCATCTGCATTGCTGCAACTTAATGGAACACACCCATATCACACCCGTCCAATGGAAAGTTCCAGCAGAACATTTTCCTATATTGCATGCATCATAAAGTTTGCATTTTTTTAAGGAAAAAGACTTTGTGAGCTAAGTTAGGTTTTGAAAATCTTACTTGAAAGATGAAAAGCAAGAAACCAATCAGTGCTAGTATCAAAAGTCTATTTAAGTCCATAAATAACAAACAGATTTGGCTTTTGAGGTTGCTCTACCTTGAATTTAACGATCCGCCAAATTTTCAAACCAGGACTTTCACCAGCTCCTTCCCAAGCTTTTTCTTTTCCAGCAGCTTCTCTTTTCACCTGTTACGAAAACAGCAAACAGTTAATTCGTTTCTATTAACATAACATCAAATGTACATGTACGATATGCTTAGCTACCGTTCGAGTTGCCTCGGATCTCTGTGCGTCGCTAAAATAATTTAGTTTAAAGCCCAAACATGTATCGCTCTGTGACAAAACAACGCGGGCTTTAACAGATCTGAAGTTCTCACATTTTTCTCTACATCCGAGCCAAACAAAGCCAAATTGCTGTCTTTCCAGTCATACTTTTTCGCCTTCCTTAAGCCAGACATGTTCGCTAGGAAAAATGAACGTATGTACTGACAACAACCCAAGCAGTTCTGCCTGAACACAAATGAGCACAACTTTCACTCCTACGTGAATATTTATCTAAACTCACTGACCTATAAAACGAAAGCATGTTATTTGATTGGTCAGACAGGGCAAATATTCGTCACGCCATATAACTTGTTTTTCTATTCCCTTGGGAGGGTTGTCCCGCGGGTATCGACGCTCTTTCAGGGGTAGACACCATTCATCACGGACCTGAGCGCTCCGAGGTAGCGAGCCGGTCTCTCTTTTCTAAAGGCTTTTTTTCTTTTTCTTTTTTCTGTAATCCAGGGCTGTAATGTGAATGTTACCACCTCTACGGGAAAATTGTTTGCTGCCGCACGCGAATAACCATCACGAAAGGCACTGAACACTCTGGTTTTTAACACGCACGCAATTTTTTAGTTGTTTTCTGGCTCTATTATATGATATTTAATTTTTGTTACATAGCAAAAATGTTAGTGTAAATGGTGTTAATAAAGGAGATAGAGTTGAAAAAGCTGAAGAGAGCTTGAGCTGCATGTGGCTAGAATGGCCAGTTTTTCATGAGGACTGGGGCTGACCACATTCGTGCCATGTGACAGGAGATCTGGTGCTTCTATTGTGCCACGTTTCAGAAACCAACAAGCGGTCTTTCCTCTTGATTTTGATTTAATTTTCGGCAAATAACTGTGTTACATCGAGTGATCCCCGTGGAGCAAAAAGAAATATCCACTGTTCTTTGTTTTCCGTGGCGAAACATATAAAATGTGGCGCAAGCCAGTGATTGTATGTTGCTTTTTGATCGGGTTGGCCATACTTTGTGTTGCTCCCCCTGTCAAGAAGGAGAAGAGAGTGAAAGCTGAGACAGAAGGTGAAGAAAAGGGCGATCCAGAATACGCTCGTTATCTAAAGCAGGTTATTGAAATTTTAGAGAATGACGATGATTATGTAAAGAAATTACTAAACGCCTCTGAGGAGGAATTAAGAACTGGACAAGTTGCTGATGATTTGGATCTCGTGAAGCACGATGTGAGGACAAAGCTCGATGAACTGAAACGACAGGAAGTCGAGAGGCAGCGAATGATTCGTCGACAAATGAACGATCATTTAAATGGGCTCAAGGAAAGAGAGTATTGGAATCCTTTATTTGATGATGAAAATCCCAACTTCTTTGGACCTGAAGATTTCAAGAAGCTTTTATGGAAGGTAGGTTTTTGTAACATACGTTGCATAACAGGACTCTTACCTAAAAGTAGCAAAAAAATTAAAACGGTTATGTAGAAAGCTGGATCAATAGAATTGGTGAAAGCTATTGCAAATTTTTCGAGCAGAAGGTCTTGAGAAAACACAAGTTTGTAGAATTCCCGTGCCTGAGCAAATACATTAAAACTTAACGTATCAAGATAAGTGAGGAAATTTCCTTGCTATCCCTCATTTTTTGTCAGCCTCTTTGAGGAGGGAAAAAAAATTCCAATGGGTTGTGACAAATACAGTAGAACCCCGGTAACTCAAACTCTAAAGGGAAACAAAAAACAGTTTGAGTTAGTGAGGAATTCGAGTTATCCAAGTTTGAGTTATCAAAGTTCTACTGTAGGGGGAATTGGTGTTACAGTCGAGGCAGGTCAAGCGTACCCCCTAAGATTCTATTAATGAATTGATTATTTGAAAAATGAATCCGTTAGTCGTTCCGGTAACTAGTATCAAATTCAAATCGGCATTCCTGCATGCATACTGAGTAGTGAATATTTTACGAGAACTTCTCTGTATTTGGTCAGATTGAAAATCTTCACATGGGTTAAATTTCATAGAAGACATTTACATCAAATTCAGGGAAACTTAGCTGGTAGAAATTTCGTAACTGAATCGCGTGTGAATTCACAGCTCATTACACATGCAAGAATGTAGACATGAATCTGAAATCTACAAATACCAACAGATTCAACTTTCGAATAATAAATTCATTAATGTAAACTTGGGGGGTATGCTTGACTTGGGTTGACTGTAAAACAGAAGGTCCACAGCTAAGCTGTTCATTGTTATTAGAGAGCTTAAGCAGTGAATGTTTTTGAGGTCACGGACGTCAGGAAGGTTGTGCCTGGTCTGGATCGAGTATGGCATTTGTGGCGCGAAAAGCGAAGATTAAGCAATGATTGGTTTTGGCATAACATGAGTTATGGATGTCTTGTTGTCTTGTCCAGTTATGGACGTTTTGTCTGTGAAATGTCTTCACTCGTGACCTAGCATTTCGAATTTCAGAAAGATCTTTGTCGCTGAAGGGCTGAAGGGGACTCGTACATTTTATTTGCCCCATTCTCATGTGAACATTTCATCTTTCACATTTATTCGCCAAGCTTGAAATGCCGTCACGTACTATTTGATTGTGTAGAACAGTGTGTTGTGTATCGAACAAAAATTACCATACATGATATCGAAGTTTAGCAGTCGATTCTATTTGCAGTTTCATGAACCACAAATGAGATTTAGTTTGCCATTCATTTTCAAAGTTGATTGTGCCAAATATCACAAGGCTCTCGCTAGAAAATTTTTTCAGGATATAATAATATAATCAACCCGATGCACAAAAATGTGCAGTCATAACATTTTCATTTAAGACTTTAATATTTTTCATTGTAAACAAAACAACAATTCATGCAGTTGAAATTAACGGCCGTTAAAAGTTACAAGAAGATAGAGCACTCGGAAATAAGATGTTTGTTCATCTGATGATGATTCACATGGACAAGAAATTGAGTAAATCTTGCAGAAATCCCATAAATTTTGCCATCTTCCATTTCTGCACCCAGCTAGAGCTAGCTGGGTCATGCTGCCTGTCAAAAACAAATTAGAATCAGAGACTGTTTAGCTGATGTTTACATCTCTGAAAACTCTGAATGAAAAGCAGAAGAATTTTCCTTGGTTTTAGGCCAACAATTTAACCACAATATCTTAAATTACCAAATAATTTTTACCCAAACGCGAACTTTCGACTACTAGAATCTCACGTTCTATCTTGAACTTCAAAAGTGGCGTTCTGGGGTCAGCAGCCTGACCTCATGGACCTAAACACCTGTGCAGTATATTCACACTGGCGTGAGTGACTTTCGGTTGGCATTTGTGACCTCAAAAATGTCTGCTGCTTAAGCTCTCTATTGTTTAAATGTGCCCTTGTTTGAAGAAAAACTGCAACCCACTAATTAATAGGCTTTTGAGTAGCATTGAAGGGGGTTGATGGAAGGGAACACAGAGCACTAGCAGAGTTGACAGGAAGGACAAATGGCCTCCTTTCACCTCCGTGTTCCTCAGTGATGGATTAAATGACCCTCTGAAGAGCGATCATTAGCAAGTAAGGAGGAGATGGCCATAGTAGTGAAGTTTTTTGTGGGCACCATTCTAAGCTCACCAAATCTGACTTTGTGAGCAGGGAGAGCTCTTCCTTTACATCACTGTAGTGCAACACTTATGACTTACTTGCCTATCTTTGTACAGTGTAAATGGGGCACAAAAAAGTGACTTGGATGGGGTAGACTTCAAGGTAGACTGTAATACAGCAAATAGGCAGTGGTACATCTCCAGACTCCAAATATATCCCAATAAATCATTTGAAAGGAAGCCATCCTGCTTTTGAAGGCTGAAATGGTCTGGCTCCGGTTGTTCAAATGTTGGGTAGCGCTATCCAGTGGATAAGTGTTAGGGAAATCAATTGTGTTATCCCCTGGATAGAGATTTGTCCATTGGATAGCGTTATCCACCTTTTAAACATCTGGGCCCTGTTGAATAACATTTTTATATACAATATTATAAATGTTACTAATTGCAGCACCATGAAGAAATGGATAAGCAAGATAAAGAACGCAGAGATGAGTTCAAAAAGCATGAAATGGATAAGGAACATAAAAGACGAGAACATCTGAAAGACCTTGATGAAAAGGCACGCCAAGAAGAAGAGTTGAGATATAAAAAATTACAAGAGAAGCATCATAATGCATCCAAGAACCTTCATCATCCTGTAAGATGATTCTTTTTTCCATTTTTTACTGTATCTTTTAAATACCTTTGTGGTTACTAATATGAATTTAGATCAAACTACTGTCTCTTACTCTTACCTATTGGCAAGGACATTTACCACAAAATTGCATTCAGGTTTTCCTTCCCCTTAGCCAATTTATCAGTGTGTAACTGCAAAGCTGAAAGTGATCAAGACTCCCAAGTTAGCCCAGCCCAAGTTATTTGCCAGAGGGGTACTCTGGAAATAAGGTCCAGCTAACTGCACTTAATAAGAGAGTAGAAGGTGTAGAAGTGAACACCAAGCATGGCCATCTCAACATTCAATAAATTGACTTCTATGATTTTCCCTTGCTTGCAGGGAAGTAAGGCTCAGTTGGAGCAAGTTTGGGAAGAAACCGATGGCCTTGAAGCAAAGGATTTTAATCCAAAAACATTTTTCAAATTACATGGTATGTGCTATGGTGTTTTCCAATTATTCTTTTGTAGTGAAGTCTGCCATTTTAATTATTAGTGCCAAAAAAGAATGATACATATGTATAAAAAAATGCAATTTTGTAAGGTATTAAGCATTTGTAGGAATGTCTTGTGTCAAGTCTACATAATGTAGATGGTGAGGAGAGAATCTAAATATAGACTTCAAGGTTTCTAGATACATGTATACAGGGAAAACATGCTTTCAAGAGGGTGTCCAAAGAGTGATTCTGTGAAATTGGTTGGAGTGGTACCCACAAAAAATAGTGAATTTGGCTGAAGAAGTATTGAATTAACATTGCATCTTCCTATGGAACTAGTTTAATAGAAATGACTCCTCTAAAAGTCCAGCAAAGTGTATTAAACAAATAATAAGGGAGGACCATAAAGAACAACCTGATACATGCAAATGATATTACATGAGTTTCTTTTTCTGCAGATGCAAATGGTGATAACTTCTTAGACACTTCGGAGCTAGAATCTCTGTTTATTAAAGAGGTAAGGACAGTATTTTTTATTATTAAATAAAACAATGTTCATTGTACCATTCCAGTCCTAGTAGATGCTAAAACCAAAATTCTCAAAAATCCTAAATTATTTTCCTTTGCTAAATCTTGTTTTTTGATGTGGCTTGTACTTCAGGTTGATAAACTTTATGATGAGAAAGATGAAGACTATGATCCAAGGGAAAAGGATGAGGAGATCGCAAGAATGAGAGAACATGTGATGTCTGAGGTAAGTGAAAATTTGAGTGGCTATTGAGTACATTCTTCAGAGAAACCAAACTTAAACCAAAAAGGTCAAGATGGTTTTGCATCACTGGATGGTTTGCAAGGGCCAAAAGAGCCAGTGATTAATAGTTGGAGTGTTGGCTGCTATCTGTCTGTCACCTCTTTTTTAATCAGTGATAGATGTTGTGCAGTAATTTTCTTTTGCCTGATGATGCGCTAATTTCCTTCTGTAGAGCCATGAACACTCACTAGATAATTCATGGTTCCTTGTTTTTGCACTTCATAACAGAGCTGTCATTAAGACGTGGGGGCCAGGGATTTCCCCCAGCTAGTATGAATGTGGCTCCTGGCTACTTTCATTGGAAAATAGAAGAAAAATAGAACCAAAAGAAATCCCTAGCTGTTTGATTCCCCACCTACTTGCTGTATTTCCCCGGCAACTTGAAATCTTAGTGACATCCCTGTCACTAGATCTTCAGCATTATTTCTCTCAGCCATCATTTCTCTCTTTGATTATTGAAGCATCAATCCTCATATTAAGTTGTAAAGTTCATTGTTGGTTTTACAGTGTAAGTGTGGCCTAAGGGCCAAAAGAGCCAAAAGAGCCAATGATTAGTTACTAAAGAGTTAGAAGGCTGTAAGAGTGTTGTGGCTCCTAGAGTTTTCTTCTCTCCCTACAAACCAACATTTCTAAATTAAAGTCTAATCAATCAGTGATTTAAGAATTGCTTCGTTGATCAAGAGTATGTTAAGCAATAGCCCATGTAATAAAGAGAATAGTAATTATGATAATGGTGATGACTATTATTATTGTTAAATGGATTAAAGTTGTTACAAGTCGCTGTTTACAGACAAGGAGGGTTTAGTCAATTATTTTTAGTCTGGGGGCTGGAAATCTCTATTATTGACTGCTTTAATTACTACAGACTTGGACTAAATGAAAGATTGATGCTGATTTTCATTACTACTGAACTTTATATGCTGTATTTCAGATTGACAAAGATAAAGATGGTTTTGTGTCACTTGATGAATTTTTGCGAGCCAGCAATGGTGATGAGTTTGAAAAGGATGAGGGTTGGAAGAGTGTTGAAGAAGAACGTCCATACACTGATGAGGAACTAGCAGAGTTTGAGAAACAGCTTGCAGAAGAAGAGGCCAAAAGAAGAGAAGCTGAAAAGCATGCAACAGATACCGCTAAACATCTTGCTGGTGGCGTTGTGCAGGTTGGTAATTTATTACCCCATGGCAGGTTTTTTGTGGCCCATAACGCTAAGAAAACTGACTAATCTCTTCCTGAGTGTGTTATGTACCTTGTATACCTTACAGGGCATTGAATCTAACATTAATGTACATGGTGGCTTTCTGTAATGTTTCATCAAAGCAAATTATCACTTGAAAGGCATTTGAATAGAAGTGACATGAAAGGTTCTCATTCTGCTTGATAGCCAATATAATATTAGACACTGAGGGGTCTTGGGAAGGGGTATTTTCTTTATTAGTGGCAAAATAGGCAACTTCTTTTCATGTTTTTTCACATTTGAATACTGGCAAGTATCCTAGACCATTAAAACATGCTTTTTAAAACTTTTTTCTTATAAGCAGGCAGCAGAGGCAATCAATAAACATGCGGAGGGATTAGGAAAGCAAGAACAAACACATGATGAAACTCAACAACAGGAACAACAGGAACAACAGGAACAACATACATCTTAAGGAGCTTTACTACTGAAAGAGAAAAACAGATAATGAAGGAAGTTCAAGAAGCACGTTGCTAAAGTGTATACTCTCTGAGGCAAATCTAGGATTTTAATGACTGCTGCTGAAGTGGAATTATCTTGGTTGGTTTAGGCCCTGTCAACACAAATCAAGACATTCTTGAAACCACATATTTTTTTAACCTGGATTTGTGTGTATGGGGCCTACAACCCCACTCCACAGAGCAGTTTAAAAAAGATGCTGTTTTGTTGAGCAGATTCACTAGTTTTCTGTGGATGGAAAGCTAATTTGTGTAAAAAATAAGGGGTTTCAAAAACATCTGGATTTGTGTAGACAAGGCCTTAGAGGCATGCTTCCCGACAAAATTTTGAAATTTTAGTCCACAGAAATGTAGTTTTCAACATTTTGCTGGGGAAATCACAGTCTTAATTGCTGAAAGTGAATTTGCATCTTTTTGTAATGGTCATTTTTGCAAAATGAGGCATTTTTGAGACATAAGCAATTTTATCTTAGGGTTTAAACCCAACCACCGCTAGATCAGATCTGCCAGAGACTCTTATCAGTCTTATCAATGACTTTTTAGATGAATATTGTGCCATGTAAGCAAGTCACTTTTAATCTAATGCAAATTTAAAACCTTGGTTTAACTGAACTCTTTTGTTACTCACATTTTGTGGTTAGTTTGAAAAGAAGTGTAGGAGACAGGCTTAAATGACAGAAGCAGTAAAGATGCTGCCCTTGTTTAGGGAGACAATTAATTCATTTTCAAGAAATTTGTAGCCCTGACCGGACAAACCAGGAATAAAGTCTGTTCCTACAAACACTATTAATAATAATGTCAATAATTGACATGAATGTATTCTAGTAGGTCTATCCCTGAATTGCCTTTGATAGGTCATTTCTGAGTTCCAAAAACTATCACTTACAAAGCTAGGCTAAGTGCAAAACCTTTCTTGTGAAAATGAGCTTGATTTGCGTGAGACTAAAAAACATTTTTATATCAATGGCCTAGCAGTTGGCCTTGCTTTTAAACAGAGGCTTTGGGTAACACGAAAATGGCCTAATTTGGGTAAAATAGATCAGTGTGTTACCAAGAGTGACCAACATCAATTTTCTCCTAACAATGTTAATACTTACTACTCAAGAGAAAAGGTTATGAGAGTTAATAAAATAATCAATCAAAGGAAAATGCTTTGATCTTTTAACAAAATCTCTCAACTTATTCTTTGAGAAATGTATGGAGATCAGTCTGGAGAATTTTCGTGTGGATATTTGAGCTTAAAAGGGTTAAGATTGAGAGCTAACTATACAGTGCAACTAGTTATTATGGACAGCAGCAAATACAGGCAGTTTACTCAAAGTGGATACGAACCCCCTACCTTTGTTGTAACAACATCTCCGTAACTCTTGTTATCTTGTTGTAGTTCCTTGCAGTTTATAACTGCCCTTAAAAGACAATGACACACCAGTAGATTCGTTCCTATAGAAACCCAAACTTAGCACCTGCATAATGCTTGCATTCAACTTAATCTGTGCTTTAAATGTGTCTGTCATGAAAGTTAATGCTTTGTGGGTTTGCACTTGATTTTGTTATAGACTTTTCAATAGGTAGCTTTCTTTTGTACAGGGCCCTCTTTAAATTATTAGCACTTATTAATAAGATGTCCTTGTACGAAATGTGCCCAATATTTAAAAAATAGATGTGATGGAAGGAAACTAATATAATGTGTACAAAAACCTTCAATTATTCTCTGTTCATCAGCCAAGAGGCAACCAAAAAGTGTCTTCAAAGTACAGTAGTTTTTGTCATCTGCTATAGGTCTTATTTTAAACAAAACAATACTATAAATATCATGGATTTCAATCTCAGTTATTTTTGTGAGCAAAGATTTTGTTCGTTTTTACCAGAAAATTAACTTAATAAATCAATAAAGACTTTTGATTTGTAAAAGTAGCCGAGCATTTTGTTATCTATTTGTTTTATTATTATTTTCCAGATGAGTGAAGGGTCTGTGATTGAAAAACTGTGGTGTAAAAACAAACAAAAAACATAAACATAAAGGAGAGAGAGAGAAATAAAAATAAAATTTGGTTGTTAAAACTGTTTTGGGCTGTCGTTTTGGGTCTCTAACACATTTCACAAAGGTTCTACAGCAAACCTTCAAATTTGGCAAATGGCGTGATCGATTTTACATTTTCAGCGTCTAAAGTGGTTTGTCTCTTGACTCTATGGAACACTTAGACTTGGCGAAAAAGGTCAGATTTGATCATTTTTCTCGTGATTTGGAAAAAACAATCTTTTCTTGCTAGTCGACTTTGTCATTCAGAGACCTACTAAAAAGGCAGATTGCTTTCATTTGTCGACCAATTTTTCAACAATTTACCCGTGAAAAAATAAGCAGTTCTTCCTCAATGATAAGTATGAAAATTGGCTTCAGGGAGTTTAAGGGAAGGGGAAGAGATATAATGTTGAAATATACAAGACTTTTAATACTCACGTTTTGGTGTTACCTGACTTGGTTGACCTTGGTTGTTTCTGTAAAACGAAGAAGACGCGCGAAAAATTGACCACCGCGCGTGACCTTAACACGTGACCATTTCTCTTGCTCAACTCTCTCTGAAGTTTTGCAGGACATTGCAGGACCTTTTACTTACACCCATATATCATCGGTTCAGTGCCTTTTTTCGGGGCTGGGATAACCATGATAGGACCGAGCACTGAACCTCGGATTTCCTACTGCCATCAAGGGGAGAGGCCTGGGGGCTAGGTTCAACCCCCGGTGGGTACTTTAGGACTTTTTGGGTGGGGATATGCCGCTGGGACCCTAGCCTATTCCAGAGCTAGTTCAAGTGAATTTTGCTACCCTATACTAGACTAAACTCCCCAAATCCCCCCTATCCTAGAGTAGCTGTTTTCCAGAAACAACTGAGGTCACTAGCACAGTCCAGCCAAAACAACACCAATTTGATTTTTTTTGTATTCTTGAGTGCAATTCCCGGTTTCCTTAGTCTAGATTAAAATCTTCAGCCAATTGATCAGTTTAAATGGAAAATGATACCCTCTTCTAGACCCAAACACTCTGATTTATTTACCCTATCCCAGAGTACACTGCTTGAAAACCATATACTTCACAGCGGCACATACCTATATAGCCCATGGCATGGCAGTACCCCCCCCCGGACTTCCACCGCATTTTGGCTTAGATAGATTGTGCTCTAAAAGGGAGCATAATATAGTGCTCGCAGTGCTCGTATATTTCTAAAACTATGCCAATAATTATGCCAACTGCAAGGTCTGCATGAGCCAACATGTCCAACCTCATGGTCTTGCATCATATAACATAATTTTGAAGAAAGATAAAGAATCATCTTTTGATCTGAACTGACAACAACAGGACTTACGGTTTTGCTTTTCTCGAAAACTGTCTTAGTTCAATTGCCAAATATGACAGCAAAACAGCAAAAAAACAGCCTCGTCCCCAGGCCAAATCGCGTCATCCGATTGAGTTTGAAGGGTGACGTCACATCAGGAATCGTTGATGACGATTGAGAACGAGGCTGGCAAAAAAAAGGTTACCATCTTTGAGTCACCAGGGTATAAATAGCTGAAGTTTAAACCAACACCTCTTCTCCCATTTTACACCCAACAACAGTCTTGTCACCTTCTTGATGATAATGATGACGACTTCTCCTTCAACAAATCAAGCTTTCCTACTCATGATCAATAGTGCAAGCTGGTTATGCACTATATTCAAGACTGATGATCCAAACGCATGTCACTGACTCACTCAGAAACTTCATTAGACTACAACTACCACATTGCCCAACGTAAGGGAATCGAAGACACTCTTGGATTATGGATTCCGGATCACAGATTCTTTGTCGTGGAACTTGGACTTCGGATTCCGGATTCCTTGAACTGTATTCCAGATTCCAAAGCCCAGGATTCTAGATTTTCTCGGATTCCGGATTCCACAAGCGAAACTTTCCCGGATTCTGGAATCCAGATTCCATCATATGTGGAGAACCAGAATAGAAAGCGTTTCGCATGTCCTTAAGTACAGTAATAGCCATAATTTGCATAAGAAAATAAAATCCTGAAGCAATCTGGTAGTTGTAACTAAAGCTTCACAGGATTAAAGTAAAAAAAAATAAACTAAAAAGAATAATACCAGCAATAGATTGTACAATTTTTAATAAATAAGGAGGGTAACTGTATAAAGTTTCGTAAGCATTTCAATCAAACTTTTGTACATTATTATGATTCACTGATTGTTTTTACTCCAATATTTTACAAGCAATTGATTCAACAAATTAAAATATTACTAACATTGTCTCAAAAATCATTTATAAAAATAAGACAACTTTTTTTGATTATCTCCAAAGTTGTGTTAAATAAATAATAATATCAAAAATGAAAAATTATACATGTATATATTATTCAAATTAATCAATTATCGTCACTACCAGTGCATGAGAAACCTGCGAACTAAACTTCCAAGCACGAGGCGAAAAGTTCTGTGAATACTTATATAAAAAAATCTGAATAATGCTCGAGATAGTAAACTAAACTCAGATGAAGTTCTACTGTATGAGCAACTGTATTCTGCTAGGATTCTCTCTGTAACACTTCCAACATAATACAATGCAACAATGAACCTTTTGCAGCACTGACATTAGCCGGTATTTCGAGCATTCAATAACTCCATGGCTACCAACATTAAATAATTTAGAGGACCTACACATTGTTAGACTACACGCCCTTGAAGGAGACGCTGCCGGTGGTAGTCTGTTGCAGGATTATCATCAACTGTAGGCAGTAAAGTGATACAAATGGCTGGAGAAAGTCATGCCCCTGCACTCTCAGTTTCGTAGGCCTCTGTGTTACGATTTCTCAACTCAAGCATCCAGTGAGGTACTTATAAGGGAGGTCTGGGTTTCCTAATACGGACTTTCTTCTTTACAGGCTTATGAATCCTTACATGGATTTGAGAGAGGTTTTTGGAACCAACATAATTATCTATAAGACCTGCCTCAATTTCTCTTCAAGAAAAAGTCTGTCGACATAACAGACAATGAAGTCTTTCTCACTGAATGTGAATTAAGAAAGGTTATTAGAAAAAACCCCTTCTCCTTATAATTCCTTCACCCTAAAGCCAATTGCGCAGGTATGTAGTGTGTGTGGTCCGAGTTAGAAGATCGCATTCTGTGTTGTAAACGGAAATTTACATGGTACTCTTTTGTATATAGTTTCAATAACATTTTTATATCTTACTACAACAGACCAGATATGGAAAGGCCTTTCAGCTTCCTGATTGGCTGTATAATTCATAGAGCAGGATAAATAAAACTGCATATGGTAAAGCATTTCTTAGTTGTGGTGGAATATAATAATATGGTTAACATTCACGGCTGCCTAGGTAAAAAATACAATTCACATACAGCTATACTTTGTCTAGTTATCATAAATTTAAAATAAATATTCTCTGACAAAAAAGTGCCACCTAAACCCTAATTTCCCTAATTTCATACTGTACGCTTTATTGGCCTTGGTTTATTGTCAACTAAGGAATCATTCCTGCTTTATTAATCTATTCACTGGCAGTGACTGGCATAGCCTTGGTCAAGAAAGTTGGGATGAAAGCAAAAAGAGGAATGAAGGAGGAGGAGGAGGAGGAGGAGGAGGAGGGAAGAAAAGGAAACCTCCTCCCCCCCTCTTCCTTTTTTCTTGCTCTCATTTAACACTTGCGACGCAGGCTATAACTGGCAGTGCATGAATGTGTGACTTGTATGACGAAACTAATAACACTTCCTCTTAAATAACTGAGTATAGTAATTATTATTATTATTATTATTATTATTATTATTATTATTATGTATAATATTTAGATGACAACAAACCAAGAAACTGTTGTTAACTGTCCATGTCTATCTCCACTAATCTTTCTCCACCATATTTTGTCACCAGATCTTGAACAAATTCTTGTTTCAATTTATTTAAGCACCTGCACAGAAAAAATTGTACAAAAGAATCAACAAAATTGCATCAAGAAAGGATTTAAACCATGACATTTGTAAAGCAAATAATGAGTTGCATTCAATTTACCAAAAAGGTTTTTAATGATCTTAATAATAAAAACACTCACTTTCTGTACAAAGAACTTGACCTAAACTTGAAAATGTCGAAAGAAGGTGAGTGTGGCACATGAACAATAAAAACGTTTGGCAACACAACAAACTCGTACCTATGGACAAAAAAACATCAATGAGTGTGTTTTCAAACAGTCAAAATGGGCCCCCTGAATTTTCCACGCCAGTGTGGGAGAAAGATGGGAAGTGCACCAAAAAAGGAGGGGATAGAGAGAGGAAAGAGGGAGGGGTTGGGTAAGGTAACAAATCAGCAAACAAACTGAAAAAAGGGAATTTTCACTTAAGTGAACAAGAATCTATTTGCTGTGGGCACTTTAAGATCCCCTTCACTGTACACTATGTTGATGGATCAACAAAAAGTAATAGCAATAAATTTCTTGCTACTCAGACGAGTTTCATGAGAAAAATGCAATGTTACATTATTATCATTATAATAATATGACTAACACATTGTCACTTAGTAATTTAAAAATATTACACTTAACTATGCACGTGGTATTATTGCAAAGTTAAATGCCTTAAACATTGCCCTTAACATAAAAGAGGTAATCTATGATAAAACCTTTAGCACCGCAAGCTTTCAATTCCATTTTGGAATCTTTATCAAGTGATGGTGTTCAGCATTTTGTCATGTAAAAAACAAAAAATAACTTCACCCTTGAGCTTGCAACTCCATGATGTGGGAGACTTTGTTCCATCCAAATCCAACAAACCGTTTGTCATATCTGCTGACATTTCTCTGTACCACCACATAAGGTTCAAAGTCCTCTTCCCATTGTACCTGCAATGGACAATAATCCTTTAAACCCAAATATCATAATTCAAATTCTCATTTTCTTTCCCCATATGTTTTCAATAGAAGTAGTGGGGAGAATTTGTTGAAGTATCAAAAAGATTCATCTTCCCTGATCATTACCTCAATTCTCGTGACCACTCAGTTTTCTAAAGCATTGATATAATAAGGAGAAATTTCATGCTGATCACTCCTCTATTCTAGGGTGTAAAGGGTTAACAGGCTGTTGGCAGCTAGTAGTCTGTCAAGTGTTACAAAACTGCCATGTTGGAGAGCAAGGGATTCACTGGGACAAGCCAATCAGAAAGCTCACATCATTGTATCTCTTGCTCTCTAGGATGACGGTTTTGTAACACAGGAATGGCTAGCTGAAAAGGGCCTATTGCACATCATTTATTTTCATTACATACCGTGTATCGAGTAGTAGCAGTTCTCCATTTTGCATAATTTGTTGGTGCGTGGCCCTTGCTCCATTCATGATGCCTGAAGAAAAGAAAAGAGATTAAAAATAAGGAGCAGACAACTGCATTACTAATCACTTTAATAATTTTTTTTTGTTCCCAGACCCAAACACCAGCCACAGTCATGAAAAGCAAAAGACCACATTTTGCAGTATTTTACACTTGATGGAGGTACTGCAGCAGCCTGAATTTCAACCGCCTCCTCTGCTCACTGAGTCACTCTGGGAGGGAGACGTGTAATACTGTCTGGTGATGTCACTATCAAGTATGAAAATTATATGACCTAATAAATCGGCATGGCAACAAACCAGAGCCACTACCAGGTTTTTGGGTATAAGTGAGGTCACTGGACAGTATTAACACCAAGTGCTTTCAGAGGCCTTTCTTTCTAGTGACTTAGAGAGAGGAGGAGGTGGATTAAATTCAGGTTATTACCATAGCCTTCAAGTCATGGGTTCTGAGGCCCAAAGAAGAGTTTAAAAAATTAAGCAACAGCAACAGGCTAGTAGCAAATTATAGAAGTTTGTACTTTGTTCCGAGGCTGAGGCAGGGTTCATGCAAAAAATTTTAACCATTTTTAAAGAACTTTTCAAGGACCACCAACCAGGAACGTAACATCACAGATTGTACAACAATGCACATTCCCAGTCCATTCTAACAGGACTTTAAGGCTTGAACTGTTTGCTCCACCAACCTCTCTAGATTTTTCAGTTCACTTGTCTTAAATTGATTGTTAATTATTGCATAAAACAAAACACGCTTTATGTAAATCAACATCAACTTCTCTGAGCTATGTTTTATATTCTGTCTTTGACAACCAAAAAACATTAAAAAACGCTTTCCATGCCACTACATTTAAAGCTGAAAAAAATTCAAGGACTTGCATAGAAATTCAAGGACTTTTCAAGGACTTGCATAGAAATTTAAGGACTTTTCAAGACTGTGTGACCCCCGTGAGGGGTATTTATCTACCTACCGAAATGTAAACATGGTACCAAGGTCCCACATTGACAAAAGCTGGGCTTTGGTCTTGGGAAATGTCACCTTGTAATGAAGACTCTCAAAAGCAGGAACAATGAGGGCCTTGAGGAAGGAAAACCATCAAGTCATTCAATTTATGCTTCATCTTAATTCATTAGCATTTAAGCAGAGTTTTCAGTAGTACATACACAATCACAAAAAAGTTTGGCATCTGTATGGTTTTCTTACAAAATGAAATTTTCAAAGGCTCACAGAAACAAAATGATAAAGAAAGAAATGCCAGAATGCCAGAAAAATCCATTTCCTGTGGTAATTCTTAGCCATTCACTTAAGCTTTGTTAAAGCACTAGATCTAAATTCTTTTTTAATTCTTTTCTCTTCTTTTTTCCTATTAGTGGCCCATCATAGTCCACTTTATTATTAAGATTTGAAGAAGATAGAAATCTACTGAATTAATATCCACCTTTATCCTTCAAAACGTTACCCAAAAGAAGAGATAGGACACTTAGAAGTAATGCCATTTTTCAGTGGAGTTCATATTTGAATGGAACAATGGTGAAACATTAACCTTACTAATCAGAAATATGAGGAAGGCTAAATAAACAATATTCCCTTGTTTCAGGAAATATAGAAATAAATGGTTGACCGCTAGTGATACAGACCTTCTTATTCATATTCGAAGACATTTTTAAGGTTTGTCTGTCAGAAAAAAAATAGAAAGAAATGGCATTACATAAGATTAGAACTGATATATAACAGAGTTTATTTAACATGCATGATCACGATACATTTTTTAATTGTTTTTTAACATACCTCAAAGTGGTGTAAGTTCCTGACACTGGTACAAAGTCAATGTCACTTAGAAAGACAAAAGGAGTTCGAGCATGTTCCAATGCTATATTTCTCAGGTAATTCACAGGATAGAATTGCTGTAAGACAAACCAAAGTTGGTCAGCTGGTAAAAAAAAGCAAGTGAGACCAGCTCCAGTTATAAAGTAGTTTCACACTGCTGTGTTTACTCTTTTCCAAGTAGTTTTGCTTTCAAAGACCACAAGAAGTGACAATGACAGTTAAAAAGTACTTACTCCTTCCTTGAAAACAATGTGATATCCAACATTTCTTCTATTGACTAGCTCTGAAGAGCTCTGCACATAGCTCAACAGAAGTTGTGTCTCACTATCAGACATATACAAGGCCAAACTTATTGGACCTGTGAATAGACGAGAAATGTGTTCCAAGTTGAACCTCTAAGTTTCGCAAAGAATAGCTTTTGAGAAGGCTGGTTATTAGTCACTATACACATAGTAACTGATTTTTTTTAGCACCAGAAAATTGAAAGCTACTTTAAAAATGACTGAGCAGTCAAAGTTTGTTGATGAGGAAATGACAACAGGCATGGAGGATTTTTTTCTGTTTTCCTAAAGTTCGCGGCCAAGAAACAGGAATTAAATAAATAAAAATTTAGAGATAGCACATCCACCATGTGGTTCTTTGTCTACCTGATTTCTAGTCAAATTGGAATTTGGAAATGTTGGTTTTTGAGGAGAGGGGTAACCTGGAGTGCCTGAAGAAAAACCTCTTGGAGCAAGGGAGAGAACCAATGACAAACTCAACCCACATATGGCATCGACACCAGGATTTGAACCTGGGCCACACTGATGGGAGGTGAGTGCTCTCACCACTGCGCCACCCTTGCTACCCAGAGCTTCTAAATCTTACCTTCCCAGTGAAGGCATAGTGTTTCAATCATCTGAAGTCTGTCAATAGAGAGCTGTACCACAAGGGTTACATCAAAAGGATCTTCAACCTGACAAAACATAGAGATGTATAACAAACTGATGCCAAAAAGATCTAAACGCCTGCCACAAACACACTAGGGTGTATTTCATGACACTGTGTTATTAGGCATACAGTAAAATTCCGAAAATGAGTCCCTCCAAAAAAGCCCCCCAAAAGAGTAACGCAAAAAACCCTCTGTTAAATCGCCCCTCCAAATATAAGCCCGCTGGGGGCTTGCACTTGGAAAATTGTCCTCAAATACAAAGAAAACAAAGCAAAAACAGTACATTTACCTCCAACTATAAGGCGAGCTGAATCGATTTTGAAACACAAATTTCCCTCCATAGATAAGCCCCTCAAAAAGAGCTTTTAAAAAATATAAGCCCCTAGGCTCATTTTCAGAATTTTACAGTATTGAATTTGTACATTTGAGCCCAGGCCTCTTGTAAGTGTTGTCTTTCCAAGTGCAAAAACATGTCTCCTGCAAAACATTTCTGGGAAACTTAAATCTAAATTTTCCTGGTGGAGCATACCATGTTTTACGCCTGTAAGTAGCACAGCAATGACTATAGAAAATTCTATTGAGAACCCTGTGATGACGGCTTTTGTGGGGCATTTGCAACTTTAGGATTAATGAAACTGGACATGCTTGAAATGGACTAGGCCATAATATTAAACCCATTAAGTAAGTAAGCGTGCTATTGCTGAGTAGGTTGGGAGAACGAGACAAATGTTAGAAAATATTTTTTTCTTGTACCAGTTGATAAACAATCCCCAGATTTGTGGAAATTTTATTATCTGAATGAACAAATATGGCACAGTCATAACAGACAAAAAAAAGGTTGTTTGTTATTTTTTGTTGAACATTCCCTTACTGACTGAATACTTACTGTTGAAAAATCGTAATCCATATAGTAGAGATGGGTCCTGTGAATTAAATCCTGTTCTTGTTTGAACTCATAGCAGATATCTTCATTATCTGTATTACCTGTACTCTGAATTCAAAAATAAACAAGAAAATTAAAAGGAAAAAATGTACTGTCATAAAGGAAACCTTCAGGTAATGGTTGCAGACATTAGTTTTCAAAAAATTAATTCTCTGCCTTTTCCCCAATAAAAATAAAATCTCCCTGACAAAAACAAAAATTTTAAGGATTATACAGTAGTGGTCTTCCCTCAAAGCCATTCTGTCCATTTTCCAATCCTTGTTCTTCAATGAAAGACACCCCTGACAGAAATGTGAAATGCTTCAGTTTTCCTTGCCTTTTATCGATATATATATTTCTCTTTTCACTAATTCAACACAAATCTGTGAAAAATACTAAATAAGTTTAATACTATATAATACCTTTTCAAAAAGAGTCTGCTGAGATTGGACTTCCTTTGTAGCTTCGTTAATAGTGTTGTCAGCGTCATTACAGGGAAATATCCATCGCCTAAAAAGATGAAAGATATTGTCACAAAATAGTAGTAAACACAATGACGACAATGATGATGATGATGATTATCATCATCACCATCATCATCATTACATACAGTTTCCTTTGTTTCCATGAATTGAAATGTATCAAGTGAATAAATAACAAAAGAAGATACAAATTGGAGCTAGCAATAACAATAATCGTTATTTTTTTTTACTTCCAAAATGGAACCCCTCACTGTAATGGCAGAGATGGTGGAACAGTGGAACAGAGATTGTAGAAAAGTAAAACCGAGATGTGGAACAATGCAACAATAATGCTGACAAAGTGGAACAACAATGGTAAAACAGTAGAAAAGATATGGTGAAACAATGTAACAAAGATGGTGGAACAGTAGAACAGAGATGGTAGAACAGTGAGGGTGGAAAAGTGGAACAATGATGGTTAAACTGTTAAAAAGACATGGAGAAACAGTTGAACAAAGATAGTGGAACAGTGGAACAATGATGGTGGAACAGTGGAACAATGAAAAGATGAACAGCGATGGTGGCACACGAGAAGATTCATAGTCGAATAGTGCAACAGTTATGGTGGAACAGTGGAACAATGATGCAACAGAGAAACAGTGACGATGAAACAGCGCAACACAGATGGTAGAATAGGGAAACGTTTATGATGAAACAGAGGAACAGTGATAGTGGAACAGTGGAGCAATGATGGTGGAACAGTAGAACAGTGATAGTGGAACAGAAGAACAGTTATGGTGGAACAGTGGAACAGAGATGGTGGACCAGTGGAACAATGATGGTGGAACAGGGGAACAGATATGGTGGAACAGTCGAACAGAGATGGTGGAACAGTGGAATAATGATGGTGGAACAAAGGAACAGTTATGGTGGAACAGTGATAAAGAGATGGTGGAACAGTGGAACAGATATGGTGGAACAGTGGAACAATGATGGTGGAACAGTAGAATGGTGGAGCAGTACAACAGTGGAACAGTTATGGTAAAACAGTGGAGAAGAGATGGTGGAACAGTGGAACAAGGATGCTGGAAAAAAGGAACAATGATGGTGGAAAAGTAGAACAGTGATGGTGGAACAGAGGAAAAGTTATGGTGGAACAGTGGAACAGAGATGGTGGAACAGGGGAACAGTGCAACAATGATGGTGGAACAGTGGAACAGATATGGTCAAACAGTGGAACAGTGCAACAATGATGGTGGAACAGTGGAACAATTATGGTGGAACAGTGGAACAGAGATGGTGGAACAGTTGAACAATGATGGTGGAACAGTGATAGTGGAACAGAGGAACAGTTGCGGTGGAACAGAGCAACAGTTATGGTGGAACAATGGAACAATGATGGTGGAACAGTAAAACAGTGATAGTGGAACAGTGGATCAGAGATGGTAGACCAGTGGAACAATCATGGTGGAACAGAGGAAGAGCTATGGTGGAACAGTTAAAAAGAGATGGTTGAACAGTGGAACAGATATGGTGGAACAGTGGAACAATGATGGTGGAACAGTAGAATGGTGGGGCAGTACAACAGTGGAACAGTTATGGTAAAACAGTGGAGAAGAGATGGTGGAACAGTGGAACAAGGATGCTGGAAAAAAGGAACAATGATGGTGGAAAAGTAGAACAGTGATGGTGGAACAGAGGAACAGTTATGGTGGAACAGTGGAACAGAGATGGTGGACCAGTGGAACAATGACGGTGGAACAGAGGAACAGCTTTGGTGGAACAGTGAAAAAGAGATGGTGGAACAGTGGAACAGACATGGTGGAACAGTGGAACAATGATGGTGGAAGAGTGGAACAGCGATGGTAGACCAGTAGAAGAATGATGGTGGACTAGTGGAACAATTATGGTAGAATAATGGAACCATGATGGTGGAACAGTGATAGTGGAACAGAGGAACAGTTGCGGTGGAACAGTGGAACAGAGATAGTGGAACAGTGAAACAATGATGGTGGAACAGTGGAACAGTGATAGTGGAACAGAGCAGCAGTTATAGTGGAACAGTGGAACAATGATGGTGGAACAGTGAAAAAGTGATAGTGGAACAGTGGAACAGAGATGGTGGACCAGTGGAAACATGATGGTGGAACAGAGAAACAGCTATGGGGGAACAGTGAAAAAGAGATGGAGGAACAGTGGAACAGACATGGTGGAACAGTGAAACAATGATGGTGGAACAGTGGGACAGCGATGGTGGAAAAGAGGAACAGTTATGGTGGAACGATGGAACAGAGATGGTTGAACAATGGACCAATGATGGAGGAACAGTGGAACAGATATGGTGGAAAAGTGGAACAGATATGGTGGAACAGTGGAACAGAGATGGTGGAACAGTGGAACAGTGGAACAGTGATAGTGGAACAGAGGAACAGTTATGGTGGAACAGTGGAACAGAGATGGTGCACCAGTGGAACAATGATGGTGGACTAGTGGAACAGTTATGGTGGAAATGTGAAACAGAGATGGTGGAACAGAGGAAAAGTCATGGTGGAACAATGGAACAGAGATGGAGGAACAGTGGAACAATGATGGTGGACTAGTGGAACAGTTATGGTGGAACAGTGAAACAGAGATGGTGGAACAGAGGAAAAGTCATGGTGGAACAATGGAACAGAGATGGTGCACCAGTGGAACAATGATGGTGGACTAGTGGAACAGTTATGGTGGAACAGTGAAACAGAGATGGTGGAACAGAGGAAAAGTCATGGTGGAACAATGGAACAGAGATGGAGGAACAGTGGAACAATGATGGTGGAACAGTGGAACAGTGGAACAAATATGGTGGAACAGTGAAACAGAGATGGTGGACCAGTGGAACAATGATGGTGGAAAAGTGGAACAGTGGAACAAATATGGTGGAACAGAGGAACAGAGATGGTGGAACAGTGGAACGATGATAGTGGAACAGAGGAACAGTTATGGTGGAACAGTGGAAGAGAGATGGTGGACCAGTAGAACAATGGTGGTGGACTAGTGGAACAGTTATGGTGGAACAGTGGAACAGAGATGGTGGAACAGTGGAACAATTATGGTGGAACAGTGGAAGAATGATGGGGGAACAATGGAAAAGAGATGGTGGAACAGTGGAACAATGATGGTGGAAGATTGGAATAGAGATGGTGGAACAGTGAAACAGTGGAACAGTGATGGTGCAAAAGTGGACCATCACTGTTCAACTGCTCCACTGTTCCACCATCACTGATGCCTTATTTATAACATTATGCTCAGTATGCTTTGCTAGCAATAACATTTTTAGTGCACTGTTATTACCTCAAGAAGTTACCATCATATTCCAAGAATGTGAGGTAAAGGTTTCTGAAGAACTCTCCATGTTTGTTCTTTACCAACAGCTTCTTGGGTGAGTTCCAGTGGATAACCTAAGAGTAAGAGTAGAATTTAATTAAAAACATCAAAGGGCAGCAAATCAAATAACATGAATAAGTAAATGTGACTGAATGGAATTGAGGCAAAGTTAAACTTGAAAGAATACTGGCCAGTGGTGTTGATTGTAGTGGAGGACACTCTACAGAGGAAACTAAGGTATACGTTGAAAGGGTTTGAAGACTTTACAGTTGAAATTGGTGACATTCCAGGTGGAATTAAGCCTGTTTTGCATCTAAACAACCTTCTGACCTCCAACCTCTAGGACACCTACACCCATCCTCGTCTATTGTTGATGAGTTTACTGAAAAAATAAACTCTGTATTTCTTCAAAACGAAATTTCTCACTATTGTCTTCATTGCCTTTGAGTGTTAATTTTCTAGAATAAGGCATGTTAAATTTGACTTCTAAACTTCATTTCTGTTGACATACTAGACTTTGAGACACAACAGAACTAAAAGCAGTAGAAACCACTGCAATGAAGTACATTCAAAATCAAAGCAAATAACTAAAGCATTACTGACACATGTTTTACCTTCAGTTCAGAAACATCCTTGTAACATGTCTACAAGCAGGAAAAAAAGATATCACTTAATTTGAAGAAAGAAAAGGTGTGCAAAAAAATTTTTACATCGAAAATTAGGGAAATATCACAAGATGTTCTTGCACAGAGCTCTTCAGTAGGAAAGAAAGGATAAACAGCAGTTCAGATGCCAAAGGGCAAACTAGAAAGGTCTATACATACTGCACTACGTGTGTTGTCCCCAAGTTGTACGTTCCATGTACATGGTAGTTTGAATACCAAATGTGGATGACTCTTTATCACTGCATTAAATATGTCCTAAAAATATATAGTATTCCTTTGAGTATATTTACAAAATATTTAACTTAAAAATTTCAATGATACAAAATACACCATTATCCTGTATTGAGCTCTTGTTAATACAGATGAATTGCGTCACCTTAAAATTGCCATCATTATAATTACTGTAAGTTCTAAGAAAAAGTTGGTTAAATAGGCCATTCGCACAATGGCATCCTCCTACTGCTACTACTGCCACTACTACTACAAAAACAAAAGTTACAGGAAGAATTTCACATGCCATATTTATTCAAAAACACATTAATAATAATAATAATAATAATAATATATAACAGTAATAAAAGCTTTATTTATACTGGAGATATCTATCAGCATTATACAATGCTGGTCTTCCCAAGATGTTCAGTAAACAAAATTTATAATAATATTGTTCTACAATTACATTTCAAAGACCCTAAAAACTGCTAACATAAGACTACTAAAAACTGCTAATTTAAGAACTACTAAAAAATAATTAAAAATATTACGAACCACTAAAAACTATTAAAAACACTAAAAAAATCCAACTAGTTACACTGTACATTTATGATTACTAATGTCACTGTCTCTCAGTTGTTTAAAAAGATTAAATTTAAAAGAGCCTATACTAGTTGTTTTTCTAAGTTCTGTAGGGAGTGAGTTGCAGTTTCCAGTCACTTGCCCAAGCAATTTGGAAAGTCTTTCTTCCTGAAGAAGTCTTACATTGTGGTACGTCAAGAGTGCCTTGGTTCCGCAGAGTAATCCACAAACCAGATTTTGTAAAACAACTGTGCAATGTATAAGAGGAACAAAGTGATGAACAGCTTACTTGATCAGCCAGTGCAGTGGACAGCATGTTCATGAGTTCTTTCTCAGCTGTGAGTCTCCACAGGCTAGCCCACTTAGTCTGCCGCAACTTTAAAAGGTCCAGTAGGATAACACCAGTGTTGAACCCTCGGCCCTAAAGCACAAGCATATCTTAACTCATAACATTACAACACCTGTACAAATTGAGTCCTCTATCACAATAATTATTACAAAGCACTTATAGACCCTATTTTTATCTACTCATGAATGCAAGACTTAAACTGATACTGTTTAACTGCGGCAGGTCTATCTCAGACAGTAGAGCACATGATTGCAGAGGCTGACGTCACATGTCCAATACCCATGACGAGACCAAAACTCAGAGACTTAAGAATATTAAACTGAAAGATGAAGGTACTGCCTTTGCCCTGAAAATAGCCACAGCTTTGCATGGCTCAGATGACCATGTAAAATGGCAGTCCTGTCTCCGGCATGTCATCAATTAATACTTTTGTGCTAAAACTAATACTTTATTTTCAGTATATGGAGTCTTGTATTTTATTTGTTTGTGTGTTTGTTTTGTTCATTTTCGGCTTTTTTAAAAACAACATGCTGTTTTACATCATGATTAATTTTTACATTTCAGGGTTAAGAATCAAACTAGGATGAAACAAACTGAATTTCATTTTACACTACAACATTTGTTTTGTGAAAACTCACCAGTGCAGGCCAAGGTTTATGGTTTCTCCACAGTTTTCCAAGGTACCAGTCACTTTGATTCTCCACCAGACCAATCGCCTGCACAAAAACAAGAAAGATTAACAGATGATGAGATGATAACTAACAATAATTCAATGAGGCTGAGCATGATCTGAATGGAGATAGAAGAGGGAATTATCTGCTGAGGCCGTTAACACCCTCCTCCTATAATGTAGTAAACAAGCTTTTTTCTGTAATGCATAGAAACATACAAAGAAATGACTACTTCAAAATACTTGACTTCAAAACCAGTGAATTTGAACAAGAAATCAGTGCTGACCTTTTTACCCGTGAGCTGATCAAAAATCCTCCACAATTCAGCAATATCAGATGCAAAAATAACATCAGTATCAAGAACAACTACCTGTAAAGTTAAGTTTAAACCAAGAGTAAATCAAAAATGGTGCTGTGATTAACACAATACAAATTCGTTCCGCAAAAATTTAATATTTGGAAAACAAAAACCACCTGCAACTGTTGGGACTGCAGAAAAAACAAATAAAACAAAAAATTATGGCACTAGATTTCAACCATACAGTTGAGTGTGCAAGAAATCACCTCAACCTAGTAAGACAATATTTTTTCTTTATATAACTAGGTAAATTGTTTTAAAAGTAACATTAAAGTATCATTATTGATTTTTTTGGGGGCGTCCACATGCAAAAACTTACCTTGTCCAAGGATTGTGGAATTGCTTCAGTAAGAACCAACTTCATTAACCCAAAAATTCCAGAGTAGTGTTTATTTGGTATCCAAGATACTTTCTCCTGTAAGTTGAAAGATCCAAATAATGATCAGTACAATCTTTCTGGATAGTTCCTGAGTGGTTTTTCATTTTGAAGAAGGATAGTCTAACCTAACAATGTAAAAATCTGAATGTAGATACATCCGCATTGGGACACTCCCAGCAATTTTTTGGCATTGGAATAAAAACTGTATTTTCCACAAAAGATTTGGTCAGTATGGTCCTCTTAAAGCCTTGCCCCCTTAAATTTGGTTCAATATTTTTGGAAAAGATAGATATAGCTTTAGACGTTGACATCTATCTTGTGCTTTCATTAATATCAAAACCAGAAGTGTTTGCAAGCAAGTGATCTGGAAACACTTACAGTATCAGCATTTAACACACAATTTAATGCTCATCACAATGTGAGAATCCCAAAATAAGTGGCTGGACTTTGCAACTTGGCCTGTTTTTAGATTTAAGTAACTTTGAGTTCTATTAAACAATACTGCTATAAATATTTAAATTATACCTTTAACTTTTCTGTACTGTAAAAACTAGTGTCAACTGAAAGAAAAAGAACACTGGGTCAACCTAGAATGATGCATACAAATGAGTATGAACAAAAAGCAAACTGACGAAACTACTATTATTTTCATTTCTGCAATATGCTTAATTAACACCCAGTTTTCAGTATGTACTCCAGTTTGTATTAACAGTTACAAGTTCCACCCTCTCTGGTGCTTAAGAATAATAATAATATTACTGCGTCATCAAGGCTTTATAAACAAAAACTTTTCTGCCTTTCTGGGAATGAAATTAAAACAACAAAATAAGTGCTCCCTTCAAGTTATCACCCAACTTCCCTTCTCTTGGCAATCTAAACATGTACCCTGAACACCATTTTGATCTTTTACAGTACATAATATACTTTTCCAACATGTTCTTGCCTGCCGTTATTTCCCAAGTTTTAAAGAGGACAGTTAAAATCTTCTCTGCAATGGCATCTGAGATGAAGTGGAAGTGCAGAGGATTACGGCGATGAAACAGAATAGACTTTATCAGTGTGACAACTTGCCGGCTTGCACTGTGACCAGCACAAACCACTGCGATATGAATAACCTGCAAAGAGAACACAAGTAAGCCATGTGAGCCAATGATACATGTGCCAAACCACAATAATGTTAATATTGAAAATCTATTGTCCTTGCTCATTAGTATTAGGTTCCACAGGTGTGAAGTACGATGTTTGACTTTAAAGCCTGGTTTTCACTAGCGACAAAGTCGGAATCAGAGTTGTAATCTGTCCCTTACAATCAAGGTTTCCAGAGTCACAAGGAGAAGTGGAAGAACTAAACCAATCACAAAGTGTGGAAATGAAAACTGTGATTGGCTAATCCTTCCGCTTATATTTCTGACTCCGACAATCTGGTTTTCACTAGATCGTAAATGACACAGTCATAAGCGGAGTCAGAAGAAAATGAAACGTTTCGATTCTGCCAGCTCCAATTCCATCACGCTTATGACTCTGCTTACAACTCTGACTTTTTATTTTCACAAGGTCATAAGTGCTCTTATGACGCAATTTACGATTCCGACTCCGGCTTTGTCGCTACTGAAAACCAGCCTTAAAAATAGCCACCAAAAAGTGTGTACGTTTTACTTCCTTTGCGAAGCTACAGTCATTCTTCATGCTACCTTTTTTACTCAACAACCGCTGAAAAGTAGAAGTTAACTAATTCATAGGCAATATAGTGAGTGACCAATTTCTCGCCTGAAAATTATCACCTGATAACAAAAGTTTACATGTTTCAGATTACAAAACTACCCATGCACATAAATTTTTTAGTGAAAAAACAGAAGATTATAAACAAGAGTATTTTAGAAATATATTATTTTCACGATAATGCAAACAATTGCTTAGTACATAAATATCCCACACTATGAGTTGTTCTCTTTGGTTGACTTAAGCTTGGATTTTAATAATAAAATATAAAGCCAAAACAGACGAAGACAAATATGGTAAAACATTTAAGGCCAAAAAATATTGACAGCAGCTTTTAGGATATCTAAGATTTGACTTAGATTATATATAATCAATCATACTGCTCATGACGATATGAACGTTGACGTGATCCTTGCAGTTACAGTAAAAACTGCTTAACCTCAAGAAAATTTCTTGCTTGACTAAGATAAGATTTATTGGATTTGTTCTCTACAAAACATCATGTATGAAAAAAATTCCTACCTCACAACGGTATGGTCTTAAGTCATTTAAACATGATGTAGTCTTGTTCTCATTTGCAACTGTAATAAAAAAAAAAAGAAAAAAGAAAAAAAGTATTTTTAAATCATAAACAGAAGGGTGCAAATAACATATTTTTCACACATGAAAAAGTACCTTGACTGTCCCTTTCATATATATCTTGCAATCTCTTCTGAATCACTTTAAGTTGCCTTTTCAACTCAGCATTTTCTGCCTGGACACTTTCAAATTTCTGAAGCAAAACATGCCTTCCATCGGCTTTAGGTAATGAAGGATCTCCCTCTGTGAATTACAAATTAAATAGATTTTAGGTATGTAATGCAGTCTTCAATCAAAAATAGATCTCTAGGGAGAGAATATGTTTTCACTTTTTGAGCACTTGCAATTTTTTTCAGCCTTCTATGTCGTACAGTATAAGCACAAAACCCGTACGTAACCTGTTTTGTTGAAGAAAGTAAACTGTGATTACTTGTAATTCAGAGGCTTTATATTGTACTACAATAAAAGTTAATCATACAAGCTAAAATATAAAAATGTCAAAAAAATATCTGCTCTCTTTGTCCTACAGGTAATAGACTCATTAAACAAATAGAATCTGTCAGGATTCTTCCTTAGATTGTACTTGGGCTGATTAATGAGTAGCCTTGGCGAATAAGAAGTGTAAAGGATGGTCTTTAAACTTCATCTTATCCATGTACTTAACACAAAGGTCATCTCTTCTTTTCTTTATTCTTGCTATCTTTGCTATTTGCAAGGCCTCCATATATGACTAAGCATCAGGATGAATTATCCTCAAAGCCCTCTTTTTTGCACTCCCTTGATTATTTAATAGTCCAGAATAGTCTGCCATACAGGGACAGCATAATATTCTAATACAGGTCTTACTGTACTAAGATAAACCTCAAGAATGTTATTTTGGGCCACTCCAGCCCTAAATAATAACCTACGAGAGTATAGCCATTGGAATCTATATTGGTTATTCCATTTAAGTCTATTATAATGCCATATAACATGCCAAAGACTACCGAGGAAGAGAGAATGGAGTGTTCACTTCTTGCATAAGGGAAAATAATTTTTTTGACGCAACAGGTCACACTTCACCTGCGTGTTATGTAGCAAGCCAATCACCATGATTACCCCTTTTTTTGCAAAAATTCTTTGGACTAGGAAAAAAAAAATTGATACAATAACAAGCAACGACTAAGGCATAATAGACTCTCCTTGTTTCTGAACTGAATCAACAACTCCCCTAAACTGACAGACGACCAACATTTTGATTTAACTGACAGTTGGCCGATTGTCAGCAAGCAGTTGGCCAGCAGTCAGCTAACTGTTGGTCAACTGTCCCTCAACTGTTGGTTAACAGTAGGCTGACAGTCTACCACAATGAGCATTCACCATTTGAAGGCTGACAGTTACCCAGTGAAGAAAGAACATAGACTTGACAGTGTGCAAAGAAATTAGTGTCCCAGAGACTAGGCTAGGGCTGGCAAATTTTGTGGTTGGGATAATGGATTCTAGGGATTCTAGGTTTGAAGTGAATTATTGATCAACATATTATTAATTATATGGGCTAGTAAAAATTGTCTTTTTTGGGTTAGTATACCCTTAAGACAACTTGCCCGAAGGACAAGCTGGAAAGTTCCAGAACTGTCATTAAGTGTCATAACCCACAGCAACTATTAGGGTTGATCAAAGTGGAAAGCTAAAGATGATACTATCTGCTACAACTGACTCAGAACTTATAACAACAACCCCAAGTTCCATTGAGTTTCTTTGCACCTTTCTGGTGACAGGAATGTGGACTGTTAGATATAGACTTCCTTTCAGCTTGAAATAAGAAAAGCATATGACTTGAGCTTTGGGGGTGCAGACCATGAGCCAGATTTAAAGCTGTTGTAATCTCTTGATGATTCTCAGTGTCAATAACCCATTTTTAATCTAACCATTCTTCATTATTTTTTTCTTCTACTCCTTAGGAAGTATAGAGGTTTAATATATTTTATTACCATTATGAGAATACCTTGCTATCTGCTCAATCAAATTTTAAGAAGACAAATAATACAAACAAGCAGTCATGCTGCAGACTACATTTCTTGCAGTTTGTTTGCTTTGAGATGAATAATCACTGGGGCTATTTTAAAAAACATAAAGGTATGCTAAAGTATAACTCAGCAGGAAGGCTAATTAAGTTTCACAGCAGGGACTCACTTAACTTAGGGAAAAAATAATCTTCATTCAATGTGCACACACAATCTATAGAGCAAATAATAACAAACTGAACTCTCTCTCTTTCACTTCCTTATAAGAGGTGCTCTTCCATGGAACAAAGGATCACTATAAAAATGGAACAGACCTGTTCTAACAATCAACCAGAACTTGTTTAAAAATTATTCTATTCTATTCTATTCTATTGTTTTATTCTAGGATATAGAGCTTAAAAGAATGTGGCAAATAAATCAGCAAGTATAAAACTATCTGCATGTTGGAGAAATGCACATACCCCCTTACTAACAACAGCTGTTTGTCTCTCTAGTAAGATTATATGTCATGCACGACCTTCCCAGACCAATTATTGCTTAGTGTGAATAACTTTAATTAACATTTTTCATTGAGTTTGAAGGAAATAAAAACACAATCTTTTATACAGAATCTTGCTAATAAGCTAGATGGCTGGTACATCAGAATAAATAACACCAAATAATCAATATCTTTTTTAATGAACTGTTTTGTGCCACTGATATCTTATCATTAACCGGCATATTGAATACCAAGTCTAAATTTTCAAACTAATATTGAATGAGAGAGAGGATTTTTAAGACAGAACTGCAAGTACATCTGGGATTTCATACAGTAATGCTTCCAAGAGGATTTTTCAAAAGCCTTTCATCATTTTTAACCCAGTTTACCCTAAAGAGTGATTGAACAATCTTCTTCAATAGAATCTAAACTTGGGAAAGTCCTTTTAATTACCCACAAATCATATCACATGCCTATTCTAAAACAAATTTCGCATTTTTATCACCATAAATATGATCCACAGAAATGATACCCTTGTTATCTTTAAGAAAAAGAAATGACCAGACAGCCACAATAATATTATTGGGAAAACATTAATAGAAAATCACTGGCTGAAAGCTTTTTTTAAGCCCCACATACCTTCCTACTGAAAACTGAAAAAGAAAATATTCCTTGAAAAAGTTGTACAGCACTGAAATATTTTGAAAGTACTTTAATTTAAGTGTAAATTGGATAACAAAACAATGATTTTAAGAAGTCCACCTTTAAGTTTTAAATCATGCTCTTGTACAGATGGCTATAGGGATTAGCTGCCGTATCGGATAAACTCATGTCAGCTGTTAACCTCATAAGAAAGTTTTAATTTTAGAAGTAAGTCATCTTGGGTGACAACTAAGGAAGATAAGGATCAGTTGGTATAGAGAGCTGCCAAATTATCAATAACGACTTAAGGAAATATTAAATTCCAAACCTAAAAAGCTCCAAATTTTAAAGTCTTTGGTGACGTTTTTTCTTAAAATATTTCGAAGACGTAAGCGTGGCTGAACGCTGTACAAATTGGTGTGTGTTGGAATTAAATTTTTTCATTATTGAGTATTTAAGTAAATTAAAAAGAGAGTAATAAGAAATAAAAGCAAGCGTGTGTTTACTCCTAAAATAAGGGAAAACATGAGTTCGCTTTTCAGTGGGCAATAATTTCAATCCCAAATCAAACAAATCGAACATAAATCGAGCTGGGACGTGCGCTACATGTCACTATGAAAGATAAAAACAGTGCGGATCACTGCCAATAACTACCTAAATAACTATAAAATGCGTTCGTTACCTTTAATGGAATTATCTGCGGGTGTAATCCACCACAACACAAGCGAGGAACTCAGAGATAGCGAGAGCAAAACTGCGATGGTCCGAATTTTCACAAATCCCATGCCGGCAGTCAACATGCTATCTCGAACTTCTCTTGGCACAAATTAAGAATATTGAGCGTGTTTTCCGAATGTAACTGGCCACCGCACTTGGAGAACATCATTGGTTCAGGATATTGGACGTCTAATTAGCAGAGTTGTGCATAAAGTGCTATAAAAACATTTACTACGGAAAGGCCTGCCATTACGTGAGCAAATGTCACTTCTCGAATTGTTTATGGTACGCGCCAAATGCGGAGTACTAAATGTGCGCGAGGCACTGGTAACTGATGACGTAGATGATGGGGTGTAAGGTGGATGGAAGGTGTGAAAAGAATGGTATGTGTTGGTAATTGTGTTGGTATGCTACGCCTACAGATTGGATCTATTTTTGAGTGTTTTAGATTGCTCAAATTATCGAAAGCGAATCTGCTATTTCGTCACTTTTAAACTGGAAGATATTACATAAGGATCATTTTTCAGGTAGGATGATTTGTCTGAAGGGTCCCAAAAGGACACTGTACAGATTTTTTCACTTAATTTTTCCCTTTCTATTATCAGTCCCTTTAGCATGGAGATAATAATGACAATACATGTAGTGTCAGGACCCGGGAGGGGGGTACTTTGGGAGTTTCTGGGTGGGGATGTGCCACTGGGACCCTGGAACCCTTAACCTATGCCAGAGCTAGTTCAGTTGAATTTTGCTACCCTATACTAGAGTAAACTCCCCTAATCCCCCTTAGCCTAGAGTAGCTGTTTTCCAGAAACTACTCAGGTCACTAGCACAGTCTAGCCAAAACAAAAGCTTATACCACAATCCCTAGTCCAGATAAAAGCTTCAACCAACTGATCAGTTTCCTGTCATGCTACTAAAAGGAAATTCATTTATTATTATTATTATTATTATTATTATTAATCATAATCATTATTCACGATGCAGGGTTTGCCCAACCTTAATACAGCCCTTAAACTAGTTGTTTTTTAATATTAACTAACTGCTTTGAAACAGAAATTGTTACCAAAAACCGAATCAGCTCCTGCAAAAACGAATAACAAGGGTACTAACATTTAAGAGAGCAAAGCATCAGTCACATAAAGGAAATTATTGGCTGTACAAGTTTCAACCTCTGTAGTGAAAAATCCAAAGATCTGTTCCATAAAGGTTCCCATGCAGCTAGCCTGTTCCAGGCTCTCAGATAGTGGGGAAGACGCAAAAGTAAAAGGCATGCAAAAAGTTGGCGGGCTGGGAAAAAGGGAAAAGGAAGGGAGAGCCTGTAATCATTTCTTTTACGACCCTCTTCCGCCCACTTTTGGCACGTTTGAGATAATTAGATTTCAGCTGTCAAACTGTTGAAATATCCATGAGTTGGAATCTTTCTCAAATTTCTCGCGAGAGTATTTCACCCAGCGTTAATCCCTTATGCAAGCATGAGCAATTTGGAGTGCAAAAAGGGGGTGAGTAGGCAGAACACAACTTTTACCTTGTGCCAAAATGCTGCTTGTTCCAATGGATTTTTTCTCTTTCAAGTAGATTATGCTCTGGAGTGGTCTACATTTTGACCGACAAAATGTGATTTTTTGCCACTTGTTTCATGCTGAGGGCATGAGAGGTCGCCACCCTTGCTCTCCCCAGTTTCCTCCCACTTTGGTTTCAAGTTCGCGCTTTCTCAATTCAGCGGACCCGACTATCTCACTCGGAGCCTGGAACAGGCTACCATGCAGCATGCAACTCTCTCATACAATGTAAGCAATGAAAGGCAACTTGTAATGCAAACCTTCCAGACACATCTAGTATTTATTGTGTGAAACTAAATTATTAGCAATTGTAACAGATGGTGGTACAATTTTTCATACAAATAAAGGAAAAAAAATAGTTGCTATACATGAATGAAGTCCGTGCTATCTGAGACTTGACAAATGATATTTACTAATTCATTAACAGAGACAATAATTTTTGCTTTAGTTGAAGCAGATTTATTAAGGAATGCATGACTAGCTGTTGCTATTGGCCACATCTATAATATCACTATAAAATTAATAAATTAACCAAAATTTCAGCCCCGAACAATTATTACGAATGTCAAACGCCAAAAAAATGACTAGGAATGTATGAGTGAATTATTTTCTTATAAAAATATGTATTCATTTTAAAACTGATAAGAACTGTGCTACTACTATAGTCTGTTTACCGCACAATGTTATGAGCAAAACATTAAGTCCAGACACTTGACAAAACAATAATTATTTAAGATTAACTCACTTCTATGCACGCTACGAAAACACCAAGTCAAGGTCATCACTTGTAAATATACCATTATTCTTACAGGGCTTTTTACTAACGACGACGGGTCGGCATTTTCCCTTGCTTCTGTTCACACTACCCTGGGTACCTCACTTCATAGACAACAAAAGGAAGATACCACCAAAAGAGCATTTTAGTTTGTTTCTGACCTTATGCATTATTAATTTACTGCTTTTTATCAAATTATAATAGAAGGCTGTGCTCTAGCAGCAGCTGTGGCCCCTGGTTCCTAACTTTTGCTCCTGTGCATCTAGAAAATCTAGGGAAAAAATCTTAGTTTTGTCATAGAGGTCATATGCTGGGTACCCTTGATTTTACAGGTTCAGAGCACTAGGCTCCCTTCAATTTTTCTTAGAGCACAGCCTTCTATTTCTATTACAGTCAACTCTCTCTAAGACGGACACCTTTGGGACCTGCACTAAGTGTCCATCTTATAGAGGTGTCCGTCTTATAGAGAGTCAAAGAAAGGGAGTAGAGAAAGGCAGGGACCAACTTTAAGTGTCCGTTTTACAGAGGTGTCCGTCTTATAGAGATGTTCGCTAAGAAAGAGTCGACTGTATTATCATTATCACTCTTCAATAAGGGCAAAAGGAACCAGACTTAAGTTCATGGAACATTACACATGAACAGACCACCAGTACAATAATATCTGCAAAACAATGGTGCCTGACCAAGTATGGTAATTCTGGAAAATTCACTCAATGGATTTTTCCCCTCACAGAGATGTAGCTGATACCATAACTTCAAAAATTCCTAAATTAATAGAGTAAAACCTACCTAATAAATGCTATTATATTTATTATTCATACTCAAGTTTCAACAACTTTCTTCCATTTTGCCAGCAAAACAGGAGTTAAAATTTGATCAAGTTCCTTAACACGCTTCTGAAAACGGAGCCTGTCTAAGGCATCAGCCTCCCATGTTCCTTTGCGTGCTTGTTTGTAAGCAAAGTTCCAGACAAACATTGGATGAACAGTAGTAAGTTCATTGTCTGGCTTAAAATGAACCTTCTTTTTCAGTTTTCGTTTAGAGATGGTCTTGCTACTTGAGTTTGTAGACGTTAAGTCTTTATTGCTTTCATGTTGTGCATGCTTACGACTATTCCTGTCTACGATGTGCTCATCATAGCTATGACAGAAATTTGGATGCAAAATTTCCTGGACAAATGAATCCAGTTTCCTGTCAAATGACTTCATCAACGACACTTCACAGTACAAATTAGAGTTCAAGGGCAGTGATGGGGTGCAGGTTTCTTGCCACATATCGCCTTCCTCACACACAAAATCAAGGCTTCCATAATGAACATTCTTATCTGTGCAAGAACCATCAAAGACAATAAACTCTTCGCTATCACAATCTGAATCCCAAGAATCACGATAAGAACTACTTGAAGAAATTTCACTTGAACTATCTGAGTAAACAGTATCAAAACAAATAAACATACAAACAAGTTGACCCTTTTGATTGTAAACACAGTCTCTCACAGACACAAGTCCATTCATATCAGACACTTCCCTCTGAGAGGGAAGGTTCTTAAATTCATGTACCATAAAATCCTTCTCTATCATAATTTCACAGTTTTCAAGTTGTGTATCCTCCAATTCACAACATGACCTACTTTTGAACTTCCAACAATACTTCTCACGCATCTCTGCAGAAATGACAGAATCTTGTTTGAAGTGATGGTAGAGTAGTTGTAGCTTGTTATATGGAAATAAAGTCATACTTCCCAAGCGGATATTTTTTGCATTGTGCAGTAGTAGTGATGCACTATTTTCTACCTGTAATTTCTCTGTCTTGGTTATGTCCCTGGAACTGCCTTTCAACATATACTGCGTATCGCAGGACTGGTCCGAAACAAGTCCACAATATCCTTGGATCAATGTTGCCAACACGGTGTTGTCTCTTTCTAGTTTGATACAACCAACTATATCAGTTCTTAAAACACGTTTTGTTTCAACCTGATCCTCCGGTTCTTTCTTTAGGGGAACTTTATCTGACACTGCACATTTCCAGATGTGGGGCTTAAAAAACCCTGCATAAAAGATCAGAGGAGAAAAGGTTAATTTCAGTTGTAGGTGTTGTGAATCTATTTCATTCTTCATGCAAATTATATCAACACCTGTTAATATGGTCACTTTTCTGTGTCCTGAGTCACTCACTCCCATAGATCATCAACCTCATGTTATTGACACTATTCACCTGGCCCCAGTTGTTCAAATGTTGGATAGCCCTATCTGGCGGATAAATCACTATCCAGCGGATAACGCAACTGTTTCCTGTAATACGTATCTGCTGGATAGTGATTTATCCGGTGGATAGCACTATCCAGCTTTTGAACAACCTGGGCCAGAGCAGAGCAGAGTAAGAGAAAAATTTTCTTATCCACTTCTCCTTTGGACAAGCACTATATTAAATTTGGTTCTCTGAAACCCAAGTTCTTGTCCAAAACATTTTGCTGGATACTCGAAACTCAAAAACAATCGGGCATTATCAACTTGAATTGAGTTACGTCTCAACAGGCCTAGTTACTGAGGCCAGGTACAAAGCCAAACAGAGCTCATAAAAACAAATAAAATGGCCGTGGAATGGTGAAGTTAAAAGGAATATTTCACCTCATCAATTTTGTAAAGTATGGAGTTTGCTTTTATGACTATAAAAGATCAATTTTTAATTCTACCGTAATTTGAAGTCAATTATCAACTGTTTCTGTATTTTTTCTAATTAAAAATGTGCTTGTCAAACAGACAACTCATGTCAAAGGTTTCCAAGTCCAAACTAAATTTCTACCTGTCTTGGACAGATGGAAATAAGTTTTGGAACACCCTGGCAGTGTCAATCACCAAATATCTTACTACTAAAAGCCTAACAGAAATGGCAAGTGACCTTTCAAAGGTTCTGTCTTATATTAGGTCCTCTTGGCCGAGTCGCAAACTAAAACCATCAGCACAAAGTACAGTCACATATTCCAATGTCATGTTTTGTGTTAAAGAACACTGACTTCAAAGGAAAGTCAAGTCTGATACCATGATAAAAGATCATAGGGTTTCTTTAGGATGAATTGTTACGAAATTAAAAAAAAAATTCTCATCTTCTCCCATCTTCACATCAATAGAGCATATGTCCATGACATTTTTTTCTGAGAGCCTGCTTAATACCGATACCCGGTTAATACACACACTACGGCACGTTCCCTTAGTGTCCGTATGGACCTGGTTCCACTGTATAATGTCTAAGGGGCTCACCCAAAATTTCAAACAGGCAAGCAACCTGTTGGCTGGGATACAACAGAAAAAGACAAATATGTGCATAAGTTTTCAATCAGAGTAACCTTATCAGGGCTAATGTCCTTTTGGAGCTTTTGGTGAAAATGCAGCCAAGTTAAAGATCCTCCCTTTAATGGAAAAACAAGCCTAATAAACAAGCTATGCAGTATAGGCTTTTAAAAAATGAATCACTAAAAAGTTCACAATAACAGAGAGGATTTTGAGGTAGTGTGCACCCACCCATCCGTTTTTAGAATATTATGGGCCACAAAATAAATTCATAAAAAGATGATGCAACTTGGGAACTGTTACTCAGGAAAATTGCTGAGTATCTCTTACTAATATTCTACGAAAGCAAAAAAATTCATAATGACAATGGCAAGGCCGAACTCACCTATGATCGACGAACCAAACAGATTCATGCACAACTTAAGTAGGAAAGGAACTCCCAAGCAGATAACTGCTCCTTGCAAGACTGTTCCAAACATTTCTCCCAGCATATTCGATTTTTGATGCACCTTCGCTGATAAAAGCGTCTTTCCAAACTGAAGTTAGTTTGAGTAGATAAGGCAAGTTCTTCCCCTCGTATTCACTGGTACAAGCTTTAGCAAATTCTAATTTTGTTTTCAAAGGCCACGGAAAATATGTTAGGATTCCAAATCTTGTATTAAAAGACCTCTTCTTAATTAATTTGTCTTTCACATAGATGTCCATACTGTGTCTCTGACTTCTTCTGTTGTTGTAAATGAATTGTAATTAAACATGATGAATCACGATCCCGTTTATATATCAAGACATGACCGGCAGTCGGGGGCACAGAGGATGATGCAATATAAACCGCCATGATAGATCGCACGAACGTCTTCGGACGCTTGCATCAGAACTTTTCCGCGCGTGCAGTACGGCTCAAATTTTGGGGATCGACAGAAGGAAGCTTCTAAAAGTCTTTCCTAAAGAACAGAATGTGTCTTAAGAGAAAAGACCAAAAGAAGCTTTCTTTCTCGTCGATTCCCGGCGTTTCCACCCGCGACTGGTCGCGCGCCCAAACGTGACAAGGCTGGACAAGGCCTGGTAACCCATTCTCCCCACCCATGAGGGGTTCTTGACTCTTGCTTTTCACTTCCGGTTTCTTGAAGGTCGGGTTTCAGCTAAGTTTTAAGTGGTCAATATAAATACTCCAGTTTACAGTTTCGTGCGCGTTTTCACTTCCTTGTGACGGGACAGGATACTTAGCACTTCCATATTTTTATAAGCTGTGTATGGGTTCATCCATTAATTGTGGAACCTCGGCTACCTAAGCTGCTGCAAAGAAAAACGAAAATATCAACAATTCAGCTACTCTAAATCAGAATTCTAGACTTTATGGATGTCCATTTAGAGCTATCAGCAGCTTTCCTTGAATGGGGGGTATTCACCACATACGTCATTCATTATGAACTGGAATAGTCTTTTCCAGGAGCAGGCTGCTGTCTTCTCTTTATAGTACGAAGGGGCCGTTATCTGAGTTGCGTGACGACACAAAAAACAGCTTCCAAGGAGACTAGAACTGAAAGAGAGCAAATACCAGGAGCTCCTGCAAATACATACTGTAAAATTCGGAAAATAAGCCCCTCCTTGTATAAGCCCCTCTAAGATTTCTCTACTCTTGCATATACTTCAACTATATACTGGAAGCCTTAAAAAAGTACCCTCTTTTTGAGCAGAACCTCCCTTCCCCGGAAAGGCTACTGTAGGAGTACAATCCCCCGGCCCCCGGCCACCGGCCCGCCGATTGTTGATTTCAAATCCCCCACAATCCACATCACGTGACTATTCCCAAACTCTACCTTAGTTTCCCACATTATCTCGGACGAGCTGCTGTTGTTGCTGTCAAAGATCTTTATAAGCTTCTTCGATTCTTTCTCAAAAAGAAGGTAATTGTTTTGTTATTATGATCTGTTTAAACTTACTCTTTAGATATACGTTTTTACTCTGCGCAGATAAGCAATTCTGTTCCATACTCGAACACCTGCTAAACCACGCTATTAAGAAACAGCGCGGAAACGCTCACCTTTATGCATGCTTGACTGAAGTCTTTTATATTCTTAAGCTTATGTTTAAAAGCGTTATCGCTTGCAAATAATAATGCATAAAGAGCGTTGCTAACTTTGTCATTATTAGTTTTAGAGTAATATTTTCTGGTACATCTGCTTCACCAAACTTATTGCTAACGCGCTACTCGCCAGTAACTGCATGCACGTTTAAGTGAAAAATATCTCGCTAATTTCGGCAATTACTTGTCAAGACATTGATCAGTTTCCCAAGTTTTTAACTTGGGTTTTTATCGAACCGTTACCAGCATTTACGAGTTGATAAACTCAGCAAAAAATTATAAAAACCCTCGTATCGGAACATCACTTTAGGCAAGACTACGGAAAATGCATAAGGTAACGCTTCAAAATGTTAACTTTGTTTTAATAACCAACCAAGGACAATTAAGTTAATAGAAAATGTTGCGTCGCTAAAAGCATCTAAAATGGATGTTGAGATATGATAGGTTTAGCGCACGTTAAGTCACTTTCAACTAAAGACCATTTATATATATAGGCGTTGGAAATGCGAGTTTTACGGTTGCAGGTGCTATGCGGAATTTTATAAACGGAAGTTTATACTGACACTCGTATGTTTTACTTTCATACATTGTAATATCTATTTATAGCTTTATTTTTCTTTATGTGAGTTAAGGGATATTGGGATGCTTAGATTGCGTTCAGTCCGTTGTAGTCTTGATTCATTTCAATACATATATTATTCAAATTGTTAGAACTGATCAAAATATTAGAAAGATGCTGTGAGACTGAAAGGGATAGTATAAATAATTAATGCCCTACAGTACAATATTATTCATCTTACAAGGAGAGCATCAACTTCTGACTCAAAGTGTTGAGTTGTTATGGGCCCTTATGAGACAGACACTTTGCTTGTCCATCATAAACTGCCTATAAAGCAGGGCTCAAAATATCGGACAGCAGGTCGCCGGTCCTGATGACCGGCCAAATATTTTTTAGCCCGGACAAACCCCAATTTTGGCCGGTCAAGATACTATAATATATATATATTTTTTGCCTAATGGAATATCGAATTACGCTGGCAATAGATCGTTGTAGTGCATTCATGTTCAGGTTTTTGGCAGCAAGTAGGTGAAAAATTCATTCACACGTTCTTGAGTTCCTTTCCGCGGTTTTTGCCCGTTTTCATGTCCGTTATACCTTGGGTATCGTTGTACGGCGGTGTCTGAAATCCCCAAGGTTCGTCCCATATCTGCATATCGGTAAAACTTGATCTTTTTCGTTGCCCGGCACGTGATCGAAAGTTTCCTCTACAAAGAAGAACAACACTAAATATTTTCGGTAAAGAAGTTGATTTGGGGGAAATCCGTTCCACAAAGAGCGTGTTTATCATCAGAAGTCAATAAATATACAGCAGCGCTTTCGTTTGGGTCGTCGCGTGACACTTTATCGGGAAGGGCTCATTAACGTCAACAGAAATTTGCGTAAAGCTCTTTACAAGAATGAGGGATAGACAACGTTCGTTCTCGCTTAGCTTAAATTTTTTTATCAGACTATTCTGGAATCGAGTCCGCAAACGAGATTCATGTTCGACATAAAGAAATTATTATAAAATCGATGTGCTAAAAGTTATTCCCGGAGAAACAGCTGCCGGACGACCTGGTAAGAATTGTGATCGATTTGCCTCTGTGCCTAATGTTCCTCTTTGTCCACACTGGTTCCTCTGTGCCTACTATTCCTCTCAATAATCACTAATTGGTCTGTTTCAATTGCTATCTGAAATGATTAACTATTTCAGCTCTCGGTATTTGAGGGTCACTTCAGGGACAACCTCCAAATTCTGTCGAAGTTGATTTTCAAATTCCTCTTACAAGTAGATGTGAAACGTTAGATGTGTTACAGGGCTTATCTTCCCGACTTTGAAGATATATGGAAAGTTAATAAAATTTCGATCAATATCCGATCAATAGGCTTTTAAGGTTCTAGAGCATTCCAAGTGTTTACCTTTAAAAATGCAACGTAATGAATAGGCAATTTACTACTGAATAAGCTTTGCATGCAGAAACATAAATGTTAACAGTGTGCTTTTTGAGAGTGGGACACCTTGTCTCTAAATTTGACATCCCTCGGAAGATAGTTATCTTTTAAGTGGACATTTCTACGTTTTTAGTAATTGACTTAGCTAGTTAGGGTTTTGTGGCGGGCTCGTTTTTGTTGGCAGATACATCCTACTCATTATTATATATGTAGACATCTGGTCAACGACCAAAATGAATAGAATGAAGACACAAGAAGTGCATCCCTGCAACACCTAAATCCAGCAGCTTTAGAATAAATTTAAGAAAATTCTATCCTACAGTCATAGGATGCTATTATTGGAATGATATTCCTTTATCTATATGTGAAAAAACAACTAAAAAATTGTTTAAAAGAGCACTTTTCAACTATTATCTTGCTCAGTATTAATCATCGCCACACCGACTCTCAAATGTTACATTTTTTTATGTGTGTGTGTGAATGTGCTTTTCTTTTTTCCTCTCTTTTGAATATTTTTCATATATTTTTCATAGTTTATAGGGTTTATACTTTTCTCTTTTTTTCTCTTTTAACCTAAATAAAACTGTAATTTAATCAAAGGGCAAGTAATTTGTTTAACTATATCCTGCCCTCTCCATTTATTGTTGTAACCTGATATTTAATTCTACAAATAGCATCTTTAATTCTTCAATCTTGTAATACAATTTAAATGGCTTGTAAAAAAAATAAATGGAGGAAAAAATAAACAATAAACGACCAAAAACAAATAGCGAGCTGCTAAGGAACTGAAGGAAGAAGGGTAAGCAGTTATAGATAGATAGAGAAAGAGAAGAACATCAGGAAGAATGTAGAACCGCCTTGCGAGTAAGTAAAATAAACCTTGTAAGTTTAACTGGCTGATTTTGGTGGAGTTCCTCTCCTTCTCGCCGATCCCATCAGTAGACGACACTAAAAAGCATCGTTTACCAGGGGGGAAGCCTTCTTCATCAGTAGCACACAAAAATAATTTTTATCAGAGGTGGACTGAGTTACATTCAGCAGAGTGCTGAAAAAGAAAGTTTATCAGATGGACAAAACTTTTAGCTTTCCTTTAGTTTTCTAACGGATAACAGATTATCGTTAGTGTATTTTTTCCAAAGACGGTCACACTATTGACTTTAGCACAAGCAGAAAGCACAATACCACCTGCTGCATCCTTGCGTCACTCCAGCAGTTCGTTGTTGTTTCGCTTTGTTGCATTTCATTACGACATGACAACATGAAATTTATTGCGGCGTCCTCTTTTTCTTTACAGCCTTTAATGCGAAGCAGCAAAGAAAAAAAAGCCAAAGAGAAAAGAAGTCACTACAATGTTATAGACTGAGAAAAACGCATTAAGCGACAACTTATGGAAAATATTATAAAATGTTCGTATTCAAAGATGACCGGTCAAAATGACCGGCCAGACGAGAGTTTGACCAGTCAAGTCCATGATCAGGCCGGACATTGTCCGTTGACCGGCCTTTATTTTGAGCCCTGATAAAGTAGCAGAATTGAAACTCTCAAGATAGCTATGCCCTTACCTTTAGGAATTCAACACTGATGATATCCTAACTCTTAACTAAGACAAGCTTAAAAAAGTAGAAGGCCTCTGCAAGTATCAATAAAAGAAAGGTCAAATTTTGGTTAAACACGAATGCGGCTTATTTTGACACATTTTATTGAAGGTGCCTTCCAGTATGACTGCACAGTCTCAGTCCGAATTGTTTATGAGGCTCACACGTTGGAATGTAAACATTCGGAATGTTGTGATCAAAAGAAAGGAAGAACGGACGGCTCCTCTCCCGGGAAAAGCCATTCTAAGCCCAAGAGCTCACGTTCCTGTTAAGAGAAAAATTAACCATCGCAGAAGTGCATATGCCAAAAGAGATTCTACTACACGTTATATTCCCTAAGTTAGGCGGTGAATAAGCTTTCAGATGCCGCTCCACTGATGTGCCGAACCTAACTGATGAATTAAGTAGGGCAAAAGAGCGGCGTCTGAATCAGTTTGGTATGGCAGTTTTAGTTTGGTGCAGCAAAAGCGTTAAGTTTGACAGAGTCTGTTGAACTTTTGTTGAACTTAAGTTAGGTTCGACACACGGTACGCCGTCTGAATCAGATGTCGTGCCAGTGTTGTTCCAAAGTCGAACTTATTCAGGTAGGTTTGGCACATGAAAAGTACGGCGTCTGAACCAGGCCTTACTGTAGCTGACTTATTATACACTCGAAGCAATGTTTACCACTACAGAGAAAAACGAGGCCACTTTGTCATTTGTTTTGTGAACTCGTGATTTCCTAGCAAGACAAATTTTGCCTAGAAATAGAAGTTAATTTATGGTATAAAAAGGAAAGCAAATATTTTTGAAAATTGTACGTGTTAGCAAGTTAACAAGTCAAAGAACACTACAGATAAACAACGCTCACCTTGATAGTATCCACCGTTGACTCCATTTTGTAAGAAGCAACAAAAAACTTTCTCATTCACGGTGAGTTGACAAAAGCAAATAAATCTCAACGTTTCTTCCCTAAAGGAGCAATAATTTAAACTAAGGACATTTTCTTTTGAACTATCAATGCTGGAGCTTATCATGTATACATGTATACTCTCAGTATTCAACTGGCAACCAGTTCCTGGTACAAGTCACGTCCTGCAACCTTGGTACTCAAGAACCCGTTGGAGGATTTGTGCTGTTCCTAATAAGGCAGTCTTTCCTATTATTATTAACTTATTATTTTTATTATTATTATTATTATTATCATTATTAATTTATAATATTTCATAACGAGAATGACTAAGCAAAAAACAGTATGCAGAAGCAGTTCATAATACATTGTTCCATGTAAATGTGTATTTTTCACTTTCAGATACCCAATCATGGCTGTGGAAGGAGGAGCCAAATGCATCAAAATCCTCTTGTTTGTATTCAACTTCATATTCTTTGTAAGTTCTCTTTCATTTCCTCTGTAAACTAGCATTACACTACCTACATTGTAATCTATGGGATTCTATGAATGTGATCTAGCAAATAACTTAATCAGATTCAGTAGACTTACTCTCATCAACAAAGATGAGCACCGGGGGAGGTGCCGGAAAATGTGTTGCAGCCGAGAACCAAAGCCAAGAGCAAGGCGTAACCATGACAACCCTGTGAGTGGCAGCCATCGGACACTGTCACACTGCTAACCAGTGGAACCTAGAATACTTTCCCTATACTAACCAAAGGGAGGGCAGGGAAGGGAGCAAAACAGACCAACAAGCACAAAGCAATGTGAACTTATTGGGCTGACCTCAGCCAAAAAGCCCAAACGCCCTTGCGAAGCTATGAAGGGCCCGCGAAAATCACAAGTGAGAGACTGCTGGCCAGCATTGTCTCGAGTTTAACATAGCCTTAACTTCATTAAGCCACATTAATAGAAAGTATGTTACTTGTTTCATAGCTGGGTGGTGTTGGGTTACTTGGAGTGGGGATCTATGTCCATCTGAACATTGGCGACTATGTAGAACTATCCTCTGTGAAGTATGTGACAGGATCCATCATCATCATGGTAGTTGGTGCAATCATTGCTGTTATTTCGTTCTTTGGCTGCTGTGGAGCTATCAGGGAAAACAGATGCCTCCTTGGAACAGTATGTAGAGTGTAACTTTCTGCCTGCTTGATACATACAGTATTTTTTTTGGATTAAGAAGGAATCAAAATATTTGTGATTAAGTTTAGTGTTACCCAAGACAGTGGATATATTGAAGGTAAAGTTTCCTTTCTTTGGTTGCACCAGAAATCAACCTATAAGAACAGAACGATTACGCTGTAGCTTGTAGCTGCAAGGTAACCTAGACTGAATGCTGGTTTCACCTGCAAATGGATAAGCTACCCCTTGCAGTTAGTTTGCTATATCTAGTTTATGCTACAAGCCTCTATTTCAAAGCAAGGCTAAGTGCAAGGCTATTGATATGAAAAACATGACTCTTTATTCTTATGCAAATAAAACTCATTTTCACCAGAAAGGTTTTGTACAAAGCCTTGTTGTTGTAAGTGAAATTTTTATGGAACTTGGAAATGGCCTACTCACAAGCTAAGTACTTTTGTTTAAAAAAAAGTCCCTCAAAGATTTTGGGTCAACAAACAGAAAATCACGTACTACTATTATTCATTCACAATTTTTCTCTGTTTCTGATTGGCTAAAATCCCACACATAATTCATCATAACCAGCTATTGTTGGCCAAATTTGAAAGTTTTTTGTGATATGTGAAAAATGATGTCAAAAGTGCAGCAAAATTGCCAGATTATTGAACCGTTAACCAAGACAACCTGGGGATGAGTTTGAGTTGTTTTGGTAGTGATTACAAAATGGCAGAACATTTCACTCAATTCACGAGGAAGAAATAGGCAAACTATTGGCTAAAAACATAGCAAAAACAGCAAGGAGGCAACTCAATGGACAACATCTGCTATTTGGAGAATAATATTGCAGACCTGAACAACCCTTTATCTACTAAACTTGTCAATGGAGGTAGGCATGTTTTAGGTTGTTTTTAAACTAGGAATTATTTTGAATAAATAATAAAACAATATTATTGAATGCGGCTTTCATTTCATCTGAAGAATTATGGAGATCTCAAAGGGTGTTACGAGCTTGGCGGATAACATTCTCCAAGATCTTCATACATGTGTAATTCTTCAGATGATATAAAAGCCGAATTCAATGATTTTTAATAATTAAAAGTCATTGAATTCGGCTTTTGATCAGTGAAATATTTGTTACTATTATTGATTAAATTTTATAAATATTGACGTATTGAGTGATAGAAATTCTCAGTTTCCCAAGCAGAATAAACTTCAGTCTTTATATCTGGAGCTTAAATGTGTGTGTTTTTTTTCCCTCTCTCTGCAGTTCTTTGCACTGATGTTGCTGGTGTTTGGTTTGGAAGTGGCAGGAACAGTTCTGGGTTATGTATATCGTGATCAGGTAAGAAGAAAAATCTTGCACCAACTTGTTTTGTATGTGTCCTAAAAAATTAAAGTGCTGTGCAGCTTTTGAAAAACTAGAGCCTGGTGAATAAAATGAGTAATCAGGGTTGTCAAAAGTAGCCGGCTGCCGGCGAAAATCGTCCCCTACTTGGTTAGTATCGGCTGGCTACTCTGCTTGACTTTTTTCGCAGATGGCGTTTTTAAATTAAAATATCCCTGGACTGGCTGCTAACTTTGACAACTCAGCCGTCTACTTCAAAACATTCTGACAACCCTGGGTAATCAATATTCTGGTACAACAGTGTAGTAATCCTGGAGGTTTCTTTTTGTTTCAGCATTTATAGACTAGAAATCTCTTTCACTCAGGCCCAGGTTAACCAAGAGTTGGATACAGCACTATCCATGAAAGTTTAATAAAATTATTATCCAGTTGCAAAGTACATGTATTATGCAAACCAGTACTTTTCAAGAAGGGAAGATTAGCACGGTTGGTTGGTGCACAGCCTTCTGTGTGGTAGGTCCCAAGTTTGATTCCTAGGTGTGACCACAAATCCTTGTTTCGACTTCTTTCTTTTCCGTGTAGCTTTAAGTAGCTTTAAATACCCTTAAAAAGAACACTGATGGAGGGGGGGGGGGGGAGGGGCACCACCAACACCCCAGGTTTTTTTGGGAGGAGGACTTTTTGAAAATAATCATATAAAAAAAAGACTTTTTTCCTTTTATCTTTTTTTTTTTGCGCATTTTTCTTCAGAGAAGAGTTTTAAAATTTCTCGTGTCTTTGTTTAAAAAAAGGGGGGGGGGGGGGGGGGGGGGGGGGGGGAAGGAGCACACCATCAACCTCAGGTTTGTTAGTCAGATGACTATTTTGAAGCTATCAACTTAAAATAAGGACTCTCTACCTTTTACCTTTTGTCATTGTCGCATTATCTTCAAGGTAGAGATTTACACATATCCAGTGGATAGTTCTTGGTAAACCGTACATTATTTGAACAATTGGGCCAAGTGTGTAGCACCAGCTTTACACACCTGCTAGCGTCGTCTGTTTCATCATAGAAATTCAATTCATCATCATGTGGTCTATTTCATCTTCATTTTCTTACATTCACTGATCAAGTTGAGATTTAAAATGTAAATAATTATGATTATAGTAGATTAGTATTTATACTACAGTAGAACCTCGATAACTCGAATTCCCTGCTAACTCAAACTAAATTTCCCTTCCCTTGATTACAGTTTCACGGAAATTTACCCCTTTAACTTGAATTCTCTGCTAACTTGAACTGTTCTTCGTTTCCCTTCAGAGTTATAGTTATGGTGGTTCTACTGTATTTTCATTTCCCTCACTTTTATCATGTTATTTATATATATAGTAATATTTCAAGCATGAGACGCAGTGTTTCATCAACAGTTGAAATGCCAAGAGACAAACCTCAAGGTGTTTCATCTGGTGATGAAACACTGTGTCGAATGCTTGATATTACTTCTCAAACAAAATTATTTTAAAAGGAGAAATTAAGGATGCAAAAATGAACAGTTTTTCATCTGATTTCCAAACACTCATTAAATGTTTAAATTTCCTTTGTATTTTCTTTATGAATTATTAATGTGTTTGAGAAATATATATATAAGAGACACTATTAAAAAATACTTTTATACTTTCCTAGCTATGATTCTTTTATGTTCAGTAGCAGAGGTGTTGAACAGCTTTGATTCCATTTTCAATTTACAGGTCAAAACAGAGTTAAAGAAAGATCTGAACAACACTCTGAATCAGTACAGACAGGACGGCAAGGATGGAGTGACCAAAGCTTTTGATTTGCTGCAGGAAAAAGTACAGTATTATTGCATTGTTGTTTGATTTTGTATTAAAGTTAACTCTTGCAGAAAGTAGAACAGAATAATATTCTAGTATAATAGATTTAGGACTGCATTAAATATTCCCATCATTATGTATATTGTATTTGAATAAAGTGATATTATACTTGGTGCAAAGTTGCACTGTTTCCTTTCATTGTTCATGAAGCCAGTATTAAAGGCGCTGTGTCACGGAAGATCATTTTGTTTAATTTTGCCAATTACTCACCCTCAATTGCTATGGAACTTAAAGTAAGCAAAGAAATTACATGTAAATGACAAAATCAGAGATCCGAGACAAACAAATTTGTCTACTGAGCATTGTTTTTGAAGTTGCAAGCAGCAGGGTTCAACTTTGAAAAACTGTTAGGCTGAACAATTTTATACCTGCCAACTTTTTTGCATTTATAGGCCTGACATATTTTATCTTAAGAGTGCCAAGATTTTTCGTAGGGTCCAATAATATCAGAAGTTGTCCGAAGACTTCCGGAGACGTTACGAAGAGTTCCTTCTAATACGAGCACGGGAACACAAAAGAACATTGACTTCCCTACTAAAAAAAGAGAATTTGCAGAAAGTTGATCATCCACATAGAAGGAGACTGTTCTTTTCTCTCTTTGGTTCTGGTTTCTTTGAATAACTAATATATTTTTCAAAATGTGTCAGTTTGCTGTAAATGGCTCAAACTTTTTCACCAGGTGTGACAAATCGTAACACAGGCGTGAGTAGGCGTGAGTTCCAAGTTTTCAATCCGCAGGCGTGACAATCACGCCTTAGGCGTGACACTTGGCAGGTATACAGTTTTCAAAAACCCTAATTTCAATCCGTTCAATCTTCTTCAGTTTTGCCCATCCGTGGCATCTGTTGTTTCTGTTATGTTATTTTAACCTTCCTTGCGGGCATTTTGTAATTTCCTAATTTGGCTGAATTTCGTGACACAGCTCGTTTAACCCCAATGCTTAGTTTACTGTGCTGTTAGTCTTATACAGTCAAACCCTGCTTTACATACACCCACTTAATGTGGACACCTCATCATTACGGACAGTTTGCTTTGTCACTGGGGGCAGAAAGTGGCTTAAATATATTTTTGCTAAATGCAGGCCACTTAATACTGACACCCTATTAATACGGACAATTTCTATGGTCCCCACAGTGCTAGCCTGTGTACAGACGTCCCCACTCCCTCAGGAAAAATCGGGAGAGGAGACGTCTGTGAATCGCCGTTCAATGAATCGTGTTCCGGTATACATTTGCATAAATTATTTTTTTGTTCTTTCGCTGACAGTTGAAAAGGCACCGGCAGGTCGAAAAATAGCTCTGGCGTCTGTGCACAGGCTAGCCGAACATCTTCACGCAATGTCCACCCAAAAATCCAGATATAAGATCTCTGATTACAGTCAAGCCAGGTCAAGCGTACCTTCAGAGATCATTAATGTATTTATTATTCGAAATTAAGTTGAACCGTTGGTACAGTTGTCGATTTCAGATTCACCTCTGTGTGCATTTTTGCATGCATAATGAGCCGTGAATTCACACGCGATTTAGTTACGAAATTTCTACCAGCCCAGTTTCCCTGAATTTGAGGTAAATGTCTTCTAAGACCATTTAATCCATTCAAAGATTTTCAATCTGACCAAATGCAGAGAAGTTCTCTTAAAATATTCACTGCATACAGGAATGCCAATTTAAATTTGACACCAGTTACGGGAACGACTAACGGATTCATTTTTCAAATAATCAATTCATTAATAGAATCTTTTTGGGGTAGGCTTGACCTGCCTTGGCTGTTAACGTTGGATTTTGTATGTCTTCTCTTTTATTTACAATACCGACCGGTACAGACAGACGCATCTGCAACCGGTGCAGCAAACATCGGTGGTCTTAACTTCTCAAGCCTTTTCGAGAGAGCCGAAATACAAATACCGGTAAACAAATATGAATGTCCACAAAGGCTGAGCTTTTCCCTGGGGAATCTATTCTGAGGTTCATTCACCAATCACAACACCGGAAATTATTTGCGTCATGGCATTAACATTACAACCAATCAGAGGCTGTCCCCAACATTCCGGGGAAACAGGAACACGATTATCGTCGGCGATTCACAGACGTCTTCTCTCCCGATTTTTCCTGAGGGAGTGGGGATGTCTGTACACAGGCTACACAGTGCCAGTATTAATGGGGTTGACTGTATTTGCTTTGAGAATGGTATATCCTTTAGTCTTGAGTATGAGAACTGGAAAGTGGAGTTTAGAAATTATTTCGTTTTTGTCCAACCATGAAAGAGTTAACAACACTCAGAGCTGTTAATAAGGGCCGGTAGCCAGCCGAAACTGCTGGCTAGTTAGCCATCCTTAGCCGGCTTCTTCCATCTCTTTCTACCACAACTGCTGACAAAAAATAGGCACCGCCCATCAAAATAAAGCATATGTTTCCCAGTTTTGAATGACATTGAACCCTTATTTAAACAGGTTTATATCTGTTAAACATTCGAACCATGCGATGTCGTGGAACGCTTGGGACATTTTGGTGACATTGTTCCCAGTCTTGCGTGTATTCTGACAAAACAACATGGCGTCTGCGGTGAAAAATACCTCTTCAAAACCCCTGGAAACGCCATTTCGGAGACTCTAAACTTCAAAATATCCCTAGATGCCTCTGCCCTCAAGAACTTGTGCCTTTGGTGCAAGTTCCAAAGCCGCCTACTATTCATTATTGGCCAGCTACTTAAAAACTTTTTGACAGCCCTGAACACTGGTGTTTATAAGGTATCTGTGCATAAATTCCCAGGCTATGTCCAGTCACCAGGATTTGGCAATATTTTTTGTCAAAAGTGTGTTTGTAGTCAGGAACTTATGTTTAATACCAATTATTGGTATACACCTTTGACACCAGCACCCTGTGCCTGTCTTAGAGAGATATCTGTCTTAAAGAGAGTCAACTAAAGGGAGTAACGAAGGGCGGGGACCAACTCTAGGTGTCCCTTTTAGCAAGGTGTCCGTCTTGTAGTGGTGACCTTAAGTGAGATTTGGCTCTAAATACACTTGATTTGGCTCAAACTTTTCATATGATTCTGTTATAATTATACTGTGTACAAAATGGAAGTTCTTTTCAATGGAAAGGTTAATATTATATTTTGATTTTCTGCAACAGGAGAAATGTTGTGGAGTTAATGGCTATAGAGACTGGCAAAAAACTCCCTTCACCAATGGAAGCCATAGCATTGTTCCTGACAGTTGCTGTAAGGAAGTGAAACCAGGATGTGGAGACATATCATCTTCAATAGATGACATTTACACTGACGTAAGCCTTAAGAGCTAGTTGTTCTTGAGAAAGACTTTGCATGAAATAGTAAGATCTTGTTGACTCCTTCAAGAAACTTTTTAAGGACTGAGAAATCGACATGGGGTTTTGGGGAGGTTACGTTTTCTTTGGTCTAGGGTTTTTCAGAGGTTTCATTGGAAGCCCTAGGGATTTTGGGGAGTTTTGAATTTTGCCCCCTTCTGATCATACGTGTTACTTTAACTGCAGAATACCCCCTGGGACATTTAATCAACTAAGAAACACATTAAGTCATATCACCTGTATTTCCTTTTTGGGTGTGATGAAGTTTGTTAATAAGTTTTATGCTTATCTATAAATAAACAAAATATTACAATATTATGTTGCAACATTTTGTCTTTTAATCATTTTTAGGGTTGCTACCAAAAGACGCTGAAATTACTGCAAGACAACTTGATGATCATCGGTGGAATTGGAATTGCAGTGGCTGTCATTCAGGTTTGTTTACAATTTCACCTCAATGTAGTGCACAATCAGGGTGTTCATTAGACATTGGGGATCGGAGAATTTTCTGTTCACTATGCAGAATTCTCTGGCAAACATTCAGTAGCTTACGGCTACTTTCTATTAGACGTGGAGCCTCTTTCAAAATATTCTCCTGTAATATTACACCTTTCTCCTGCTACTAGATTATCTTAAGAAATTATGAATACCCTGACAATAATAATATTGTGCAAGAAATGACTGATTTCTTTTGTGTTACTTGAAATAATTTAACATAGAAATTCAAGCCAGGTTTACAATGAGAAGATTTGTCGCGATTCTTGACAAATCTGGAACATTTTAGTACCAGATTCTTATTTTCATTCCTTTCAATATTGGTTTTGCTTTGCTATACAGGGTGGAACCTCAATATAACAAACCTCTTTACAGCGAATTAAGTCCTCTGTATACAAAAGCAATACTCTACTCTCCTTTAATATGTCATAATATTACATGGAAAAGAGACCCTCAATGTATTAGAAACCCTCATTGTAGCAAGCATACTTTACCAGTCCCTTTGTTTTTTATTATATCCAGGTTCCAGTATTCTGTGATCTGAGAAATTAAAGGTCTCCTTCTTTGTCAGTTATACCTACAATTCTGTCCAAATGGTTTTGGTACACTTCCCTTCCCTGTCCTCTTCTTATTGTGGAATCTTGGTGGTGGGGGCGGGGGCTACTCCTGGGGATTCTTGGTGGGGCTGTGCCGCTTGGTTTTCCGAATCCTGACCCTATTTCTGACCAAAAAAAGGTTATTCTCCACAACCATTTCAGCCTGCAAAGAAAGTAGTGTCCAATAGCCCGGGACTAGTGGATTTTCCTATCAGGCTAGTGAATTTGGTTCTTAACTTGCCAACGGGCAAATGAAGGTTTTTGAAGAATTCAAATTACATAAGAACTGTGTAGTCAGTCCTTCTCATCAAAACGTTTTGGGGGCTGGTTGAAGCTACAGCTTGCCTGAATGGCAAGCTATAAAATGACTTTCATTTCACAGGCAGCCGTTTTCAGAGCTGGCCCCTAAAATCTGTACCTGTTTTCAAATCTGGAATAGGCAGAAATTTATGTCATTAGGTCTAAGATAAGAACTCCAACAAAAAGATTTCTCAAAATCAAATTCAAATTGGCATATTACTCTTTCTTTCTCATTCCTTTGGAACTGAATTGACAAATACATAAAATTAATACACTTGCTTAGTACCCTCGAAAACCATACCTGATTCCAGACCAAAATGGACAAAGTCAATACCCATTTTCAGACTGAAACGACGCAAAAACCATACCTATATGACTTATATAAGGGAGTACCCCTCCGGGTATGGAATAACTCAATAACTGCTTTTGAGCAATGAGTTAACTTTATTTGTTGAATTTTTTTTTTCGACAGCTTCTCAGCATGATATTCTCCATGGTCCTGATATGCAAGATTAAAGATCAGAGTTCTTTTGCTTGACAACTTAACTGCCCCAACATGAGCTTACAGTCCCTGTGTCTCTTCATGGCTATATTTGCATTTGATGTAAACATAATCTTGCAAAAAGTTCTTACAAACAATTTTTTTATAGGTAGACATTAAATAACACCTATCAGAAGTGGAACATTTTATTGTTGTATAAAAAGGCATTTGTATTGCTCTTTTCAATATTAATTTGCTTGAAGGAGGCAAAAGAACACAATAAGTGCATTGTTTTGCACTCTCATGTGACAGATTGCAACTGTTTTCATTGATACTTGATTGTTGTCCTGGCAACTTTTAAGGCTATCCCATACTCTTTCGTCAACAATTGCACGTTTGTTGAACACACTGGAGATGGGTAGCATGAACTTAGCAAAGACCAGTCCTTATATACAATGTTTTTGTTGGAGTGTATAATATTAAATGAGAAGCACACTGTGAGAATTTTGCAAATTTTGCATTTATTATATTCCAGCTTGGATTTCTATTGTCTTGCAATTTTAATTGAATGTTAATTGTTTCCTTTTTAGTTTTTTGGATTACTTCTGCCTTTTTTCCTCTATGACAACAATGTTCCCGCCCAATTGTCTCTCAACGGCATTTTATGCAGAATTTAACCATAGTCTGTCACTATTAAGCTAAAACTATGAAGCCAAATGGAAAGCCACAAGATTGTATTCCTCACGTATTTCAAATATGTGACTTCAGAACATTCTTGTCTTTATCATATATCTTGAGAGCGGAGCTTTTGGGAATATTTTAAGTGAAGAAAAATATAGAATAATGAGTGCTTGGCTACATTTTTAACATGGAATTCGTAATATTGTTAAGATAAATCTAGTTTTGAACAACCGGACTTTCTGAAGGTATAATATACTTGTATGTTCAAAAAAATATTTATTAGCACTTTTCTGAATGGCAAAGATAAATAAAAATTGATGTTTGCACTTTGCAAAGTGTAAAGTACACATTTACTTTGTAATGAACAAAACGCAAATTATGAAACCTCATGTGGACTAGTACTGGAATCATCAGCTTTCAAGCAGAGACATCTTACAAAAGAAGTGTGTTGAATAAGATGCAAACTTCTTGTATAAATGGCACAAAAACACTTTGTATCTCAAATAAGACATTATTTAACTAAGATGCAGCTGATATGCTCTTAAAAATGGTTCAGTATGTCTTTTATCTTAAGATGCACCTTGTGTAAGACACACCATATTTTTCTCTCATAACCAGTTATAGCTATCGCTAAGTGCAAAAGGGCAAAGATTTTACATACATGCGCAGGCTGTTTATGTTGTTGAGAAATGTCATGAATTACCATAATTTACGAGAATGCAGGCTGCAGGTAGGTCATGTCATGTCATGTCATGTGTCCATCATTTATTGTCATGGAACACACTCATGCATTATGCACATGTTCACTCAAAAACAATACATTCTCTGTTCTGCATTACGTTATGAAAGTTACCTTACACTACCTTATGTTACATCGCTTCAAGATTCATTCTGCCTTGGAACTTTCGCGCGGCTTTATTATGCTGCCACTTTGCAGCCTCGTCTTCAAGAGGCTGCTTGTTGGCAATTAGATGCACCTAATGTCTATCTTCCTGTTTTTTTTTTTTTTTGAGAGGGTGCGGCAGATGAACAAAGGTTATTACTCAACAGTTCAGAATAGAAGTCTTCATTGTCTAGCCATGAGTTGGGGTGGAGGTGGGAAGCTGGTGTTTTTGACATAAAATACTCAGATTTGATTTGAAAATCTGAGGAACTGAGGATCATCTAGTTAATTTACTTCAAGTTCGTTTTACCCAAATGCAACAGAACTCAATTCCTTAAAGCACCAATTTCTGATTGAGCCTGGAACTGTGAGTCTGATGGGGTCTCCGATATACCTACCATATTATTATAGAGTATGAGGTGTGAGGTTCTCTCGATTCAAACTTAGTACTTGTGCATATTTGGCTACTTTGTTGGGTGTTGGTATCTTACGAGCAAAATGGTATGCAATTTAATTGGATGAAAATAGCACAATGAAACAAACCCCTTTTGGCCCAAAGTATGGAATTTCATGTCTATGAAAGTGGAATATAAACATTCCAGATAAATTATACAGAAATAATAATAATAATAATAAGGAAATAAACATAGGAACAACAAATAAAATATGAATAAACAAAACTCCGCACTAGGATCATGAGACAATGTTTTTTTGTCCATGTATGGAGCAATAATTGCCCTATTATAAAGTAGACATTGCATTATTACATTGAGCTAAAAGAATACAAGAAAACTGTCATAGTGTTTATACCATACTCTATGAAAAAGGTTTTTACATCAGTACGGAAATATTAGTTTAGCTTCACAGGTTATAATACTTGATAAATAAACAAAAAGCACTTCTTAAAATCATTCTTGCTGTGGTACTGCTCCTTGGTGCTTGATACCAATTTCCAGACTTGATTACGGCATAGCTCCTGCATTTTCTCCTCATACCCATACTCCAACTCAAACATGACATCCTCTCTGATGGTGAAACAGATCAAGCCACCTGGACGAACCACTCGTGCCATTTCATCCATAGCACCTTCTGCCTTCACATGGTTCAGTGTGAAGACACCAACACAAATGGCTGCATCGTAGGTGTTATCTGCCACTTTTACTTGATGATTGGGTCCTAACACATCTACAAATAGCTGACTGTAAATTCCCTTCTTTTCTGCTTCGTTGAGAAGAGCTTGTGATGGATCAAAGCCATCTATATTGGTGAATTTCCTTTTGTGCAGCTCTTCTCCAACTAGTCCTGTCCCAGCTCCTACATCAAGAATTTTAGAACTTTCAGGGAAGTTGTGCTGTTTCAAGATGCTTACAAATACTTCTGCTGATGTTTCATGCCCCACATACCCTCTATAGTCTTTCACATCCTGAAAAGTTTAAATCAGAATTAGTTCTTTCCCACACTAGATTACTTTTCACATTATTTTAGTAACATTTGAGGCTGTATTGCACAGAATCGGCAAAAAAATTAATGTGACTCAAAAATATGCGGGTTAATGAGGTTTGGTTGGGGGGGGGGAGGGGGTGGGTTACTCAGAGAGAAGTTGAGACTGACCGATACATAATAGTGTAGCAATATAAGAAGGTTCTTAAACTTCATATTGAAACCAAAAAGTTCAGAACAATTAAATGGCCTCGCCTTGGCTTATTGCGATGAAAAGAAATAAAATATACACACAGTTTGTCATATGATGTGCAATGGGAGACTATATTGAACGACATAAAGGTTACAGCACGGATGCAAGTGAATTTTATCCTGAAACTCACTCACTCACCCTATCATAATCCGAAGCTCCTTCTTTATAAAAGACGAGAAGATCTTCCAAGGTTTTGTGTTTGTTGCAGCCGTATTCGTCCTTTTCCATGTTTCATAAATACGCGCTTATGATGGACTGGATATCACACAATGTTTTCGAATGACCCCCCTACCCGCCGACTGAAATCCGCCAGAGGAAAGAGCCTGGGTCAGACGTTCCTTTGAAAATTATGGCCGGGTGTCTTGCCGGGCCGGAATACCCGTGAAACGAACCAAAAAAGTCGTGTTTCTAAACTAATTCTTTTAGTAATGAAATGGCAAACCACCTCTCGGAAAGAAGAGAGAGCTAAAAATCCCTCCAAGACGTGTCCAAACAATTGATATTGAAAAACGTGATTCAGACAAGCACAAACGAGCGGATACCTTCTAATCGATTTGGGGAGGGGAGGGTTAAAGTTTAATGCCACTTTCTTAGCAGTGGTGCTGAAGAAAGAGTGTTCATTTAGAATTTGTCTTAAAGATAGTCACTTTATTAAATGGCTCATACTTAAGGCTCATAAGAAAGCTAGAATACTTGGTGAAGCGAACTTTACCATGAACAAGGACTGTCTTGGCTACCACCCCCTTGAAAAGCAGAAGTCACGTTTCGCGCAATTCACAATAATTCGCGACACTCGGTCCCATTGTGTCATTTGTGTTGGAGTTGAATCACGTTATTATGGTTGGAAACAGATGTAGAGCAATTCTTTCGTGGAAAGTGCAAGAAAGTGGGCACTTACTATAATGTTGAAAGAAATCGGCTGTAGGTTTACTCGCCATGAACGTGAAAGACGATGAAGGAGAAGGTGACGGAGGCGAAGAAAGCGAATTGAAACGTTCAAGTCGAAATTTGAACGAAAAGAAGCGCAGAGACCGGTTCAATGTACTTGTACAAGAGATAGCAGAAATTGTATTGCCGGAAAATGAACGGAAGTTGGATAAAACAACAGTGCTTAAACGCGCCATAAACTTCTTACAGAATCACCAATCACATATTCGGTCTACTCCACGACCCAGCCGGCACTCCGCTTCGACGAAATGGCAGCCGTCGTTCGTTACAGATGGAGAATTCAATTTGATAATGTTGGAAGCCTCCAACTCTTTTACACTCGCAACTGAGAGTAACGGAAAAATCACCTTTGCTTCTCAAAGCGTATTGCCTCTGTTGGGCTATCGTCCCGAACAAATGCAGGGCACAAGCTTATTAGGTTACTTACATGAAGACGATGCCTTGAGAATTTTGCCACTGTTGTCGAGTGTTGAGAAAAAAACTTTACCCTCGGAGGGTGAGTCTTTCCAACTTAGAATAAAGTGCGGAAATTTCTACGCGAGAAATACATATCAGGTTGTGGAGTGCAAAACAACCTTTATCTCCCAGCAAAACTATATTGTTATTGTAGGAAAAGTTCATTACCCTCAACCAAACAAAGTAAATGTCACCAGTGACTCTCAGTGTAAACAGTTCTCGTATCGCCTGAGCATGGACTGGAAATATGTATATCTTGACCACAGGGCTTCTTCTATTATTGGGTTTCTACCTTTTGAATTACTTGGAACCTCTTTTTATGACTACTGTAGTCCTGAAGAAGTTTTCAATGTTTCTCAATATCACAATGTTCTGATTGGTCGCGGCCAGGTCACTACTTGTTACTATAGACATCTTACTAAAGGACAGTCTTGGGTTTGGCTTCAAAGTTGTTGTTACGTTTCCTATAATCAGTGGAACTCCAAACCAGAATCAACTACTTGTACAGCCACTGTAGTACACTTTGATGAAGTGTGTGCCAATCAAAGCAAAATAATTCAGCGCGACAGAGAACACTTTAAGAAATTCTTTTCTAATGGTGAAAATGATTCCATATCAACAAGTCCTAGTCAAGGTCATTCAACATCTTTTCTTTGTGCACCGGAGGAACCAGAGAACCAACAAATTAATTTTATACCAGAGGAAAGTGTAGATGAAGCCACCATGTCTTCTGAGCAGAACAAAAACAGAAAAGTCAGTTTGTCACCCCGTCTCCTAAGCTGTTTGATAAAAACACCCAGCGACCAGTTAATAGAGGTCCTAAGCAACCATAGTGGATTGGATTCAGAGGAGGAAGTTAAAAGCAGTGAATTAGAATGGCTGGATAATGTTGAAATTCCATCTGGTCTAAGCAGTGTGCAACTGACAACACACTTTAAATTGGTGAAAGAGTATCAGAAAATTGCTGAACAAATCAGGAAACAAGAAAGACAACTGAAGATGATCAGGAAACTAATTGAGTGGAGCAGCTTACTGTTAGAGTTTGACAGCAATTTTAGAGTGACTGGAGATTCATCTGCTGACTCAATATCAGTCTCCTCTTCTAATGACAGCTAATAAAAATTTCTTCTAATCAGGTACATATATTTTATTTAAGGACACTGGGCACTTGAATGTATATTTCTGGTTGGTAGAGTATTCCTGGTTCCTATTCCAGACCTTGTTTAACTGTAATACTACAAACCTTAAGCAACCCTGGATGATAGCCAAAAGGACAGTTGAGTAAGGAAGAGAGGGCATGCGACTAGAACATCTCCTTTTGGGTGAAAACATTTTGCAAAAGAGTGTCAACTGTCTTGTGTCCTTTCAAATGGCTTCTTTGAACAGGACATAAAAGTTTACCTGTTTTAACATGACCTGTACACCTTCCAAAACCTTGACATAAACAATTCAAGAGATTCAATTGATTCAGATAACTCAAACCTGCACTAACTCAAACTGTTTTTTGTTTCCCTTCAGAGTTTGTGTTACAGGGGTTCTACTGTATTATTAGTTACAAGTATTTTTATTTCTGGTAGCCATCCGCTTGGCTGCTGTCCTTGGTTGCTTGAGATGGTCAGTTGTGTAATAGTAGAACGGAGTTATAGAATCCTAAGAGGTGGGGCACTTAGGTGTGGTCAAGATGTCGTAATTCACATAAGCTGGATCAAATTCTTCTTTAGGTCAAACCAAATATATTAAGGGCAGCTGAATAATAAATTATTGATTCAGGTGCTGATCTTTACTTCAGCCAACTTAATTCAAAACGCAAAAGAGCGCAATGCATTCAAAATACCTTATAAAAGATATTATAAAAACTTTGCATTTGGCTAGGCTAACGTGAAGTTCAGCGTTTGAATTCACATTGGTCCCCAGCCCTGGCTGAGCCAGGCATGATGAGGAGCAGCCGAGCCAATCTTTTTTCAATTAACAGTTTTGTATTGATTTAGATGCCGTAATTCACATGAATGTAATTCATTGCATTCAGTTTATCTTGTGTGAAGTACAGCATTTGAACTAGGCATTAGATGGGGACTGCATGGGTCTCCCCCATGCCCTTTTGCTCTTGGTTGGGCCACTTGGGAAATTTGCTACAGCCAATCAGAACCACTACCCAGATCTGGGTAGTGACAGGTCATCAGTATGGAATTTCTGTGCTCATTTCTCAGACATCATTTCACCGGGAAACCAGTGGTGGTGTCGCAAAAAGTCGCCTGTTTTCTGAGGCTAATCATCTTCCAAAACATAATGTAGAATCTTACGTCTTAGGTCCTATTCATATTTGAAAACAGATTCATTTTTGCCTTTCCCTGCACATATAACAATGTTTTCAGGCACCAAATGTGTATATTCTCAAAATCTGTCCCGAGAGTGGACTCCAAAGGGACACTATCATATTTCCATTGTTTTAGCACCTTCATTTAGACAGGTGAAAACAATAATAACAATTTTGGACACAGATTTGTTTGAAAACAGAGGAAAACTTTTTTTGTTTTCAAAAATATCTAGATTCATGTAGAAAAGTCCTTACGCATACACCAATATTTCTCCCTAAGTTAATAGTAGTTAATAGGAGTAAAGGCTGCACATTCTTTTCAAAATTTGCTTGGTTGTTTGACCCCATATAACAGATATATGTAAATGCCACTGGGGGAATGTGGTATCAGTGGTAGTTTCATTACCAGTATCAATGAATTTAGTAGGGGGAGCGGGGGGTTGATCTTGATATTTCTATTGTCAGATAGCTAGTTGACATGGGGCAAGGCTAAGAACGCTAATAGCAAGAGTTATCTAACTAGTAGTTCACTTCAATTAGGGCCATTTATACGAGGAAAAATATAATATGTCTTAAATAGGATGCGTCCTAAAGTAGATGCAAAACTTTTCATATAGACAGCACATTTTGTCTGAAATAACACATGACTTAGCAAAGACGTGTCTTATCTAAGAACAGCCTTTAACACTTATTCTTTAAGTTAAGATGTGTTTTAGAGAAGTAACGCCTTATTTCAGACGAAATGTGTCCTTTATAAAGGAAGTTTTGCGTCTTATGCAAGACGTGTTATTTTTCCTCATCTAGATGGCCCTATTAAGTGACATTGAAGGAAGATTTCTGTAAGTTGCAGGAGGACTTTAGTGAGTAGGCCAGGCTAGTAGTATTATTCTCAGAAATATGACAAGTAGGTATTGACAGTTCCGCCACTGCTTAGCAAGTGTAATTATCTATATAAACAGAGAAACAAAAATAGTGTAAATTTATGTTCCTTGAAATTTAAAGATCAACACAGCAGAACCATTCAGTTATTAAACTATTTTGAACATAAACTGGTTTTTAATCCTGATGAAGCATTTGTTAAACTTTGCTTTTACAAGAGGACTCTTTAATTAAAATTGTTGGTATTATGCCTCAGACAGCTGAGGCATTTCGTATAATGTCTTCGATCTGTTAAATAGGTTTCTGCTTACATCATAATAGCCCGCTTACATCATAATAGCCCAATGTATCATTAATTTATTTATTACTCCTGTCTGTATATAACCATTTACGGCTATTTTGAGAAAGGTTGTCGGAAACAAATGTGCAGGCGACAATCCTGAAAGGTAATATGGGATAGGATCAATACACTGTTCCTGACACTAGCTGATAAACCTTACTTTTGTTGCTTTCATTTAGCACTCACAAATATACATCCATTGCTGCTCTTGTCAATCTTTCAAATTTCTTTGAAAAACAGTGAACTCAAAACCACCCACAATACCTTTCGGGATTATCGATGATTATTGTTGACCTGTGTTGTGCTTTCATGTGCCAAGCCATAGAGTTTTAGTCTTATGGACTTTTTAATGTTAAAGTGAGATAAACATTTGCTTGTACTACTATTTTAACATCTCATTTTAGAAATTCTATTTCCGTTTATTTTTAGAATGATACGGAATAAAACCATACCATAAAATTTCTTTATTATATGGCTACAATAGCAATTACTCTCTGATTGGCTGTTTTCTTGTAATAACTGGGCATTACTAGCTAGGTGTCCAAGGCATACACAATCTGTGACTAACTTGATAGTGGCATCCTCATGGACATCCATGTTATGGTTAGTTGACAACTGTCAAAAAGGGTATCTGCTGACCAGTATCACATGACCGGGTCAAGTGTACAACTCATTGAGGTGATCTGCTTTTTTTAAAAGATATCTGCTGACCAGTTATTGGGTTTTAGATCACAGGCTCAAGTCCATAATGAAAAGGCCTTATAATAAATAACTTATTAATCTTAACTGTTTGGTCATTTACAGGGAAATCTGAGACTGAAGCCTTGATCATCAAGGCTTCAGTCTGAGATTCCTTTTAATGACCTCACGCTCAGTTAATAAGCTTAGTTGTCTTATTATTATCTAGATGCAGTAATAGCACAAATACATCTATTTGCAGCTTAACACCTGTCTTGAGCTCTATCATAGCTCTATGATAGTAAATATCATAATTATTCTTTTACACAATTAATTTATTCTACTCTTCATAACTATCCTTAGCTGACTTTGCTTAAGGCTCAGGGTTTGGCTGTTATGGTAGTCAGGGGTGATTGACTGGAAGGTGGGGGGGGGGGGTTCAGCTTGTGCACCTGTGCACTCAAATAAATACTTTTCATCTGAGGGGAAACACCCTGAATGAAAAACATCCAGAAACCCCAAGACCAGAAAGTCAGCTGAACGTCGGTAACAATAATAACATAATTTTCTGTCTTGTTGTTTTGGGTTTGTATATTGATGTTGCAGTTTAAATTTATTATTATAAACATTTGTATCCACAGCTTGTTTTCTTTTATGAACAGCTGGCATCTAATTCAAAACAATTTATAAAATTTCTTAAATTTGTGTGACTCCATATGCTATATTTTTACCTCAAAGGCTACGAAGTATCTTTTAAAAAATTATTATCCCGCCTTGTAAATCTTACATTGAAGTTTGAAACAAATTTATCCTGTAATTTAATTAGTTAAATAGAAGGAAGGCTATACTTTCAGCCCTGAAATAAATTACCCAGCCTTTATCCAAAAAGATGTTAATCTTAATATAAAAATAGATGGAAAAAATAAAAAATACTTTTTAGGGGAGGGATATATCCACACACTAAGTTTCTATGTTACTTTTTTTTCAATGGTAAATTATGTATAGCTGCACAAAGTATACCCCTCATTGCAGAGAGTTATTTTGTGACCTTGCTTCCATTTTAACTTACATGCTTTGCTTGCATGTTTTTAAGTCTTTGAGACTCTCCCTTTGAATTTTTATCCCTTATGCATGAGAAGTGTGGGTATGTTCTGGAACTATAAAATAAAGTTCACTTTGACAACGCTGTCCCCCACGGAGGCCTGTTTGGCCATTCAGAGACTTGGTGTACCCAAAAAAAAAGAAGTGAGGCTCCCTCTTTTCCCCTCCTGCTGGAGTCATTTTCATGTTATGCTGTTTTGCACTATCGCTACAAGTAGGATCTATAGGGGAGAGAGCAGCTTATTAAAATATATGTGCTTGGAAACATGTCCATGACATAACAAGTTCAGCTAGCTTGTGTCTCTAACAAAAATCAAGTTAAAGCATTGATACATTGCACGGTCTGTTGCAACTCTTTCATCTTCTGTTGAATAATTGCCTTGGTGCTTTCAAAATTATTACCCAAGTTCTGATTTTTCAACTGTTGCTGTCTCTCCAGTTCATCACTGAGCACAGATAGTTCTTTCTGGATAGAAAGCTGCTTTTGAATGAGTGTAACCTGTTCTGATTGCTGTCTAATGGACTCAGTGAGGCTTTTGTACTGTTCTCTAAGATGTAAATGAAGCGCCCATTGAGAAAATGAAAGAGATTCAGGCATTTCAATCTGATCGTCCAACAACAGTGAATCCTCATCTAGATGTTCAATGGAGTTCAGCAGTGAATCATTGGACAACGAGTTTCCATGAGCATTACTTTGCGTTAAAAGTGCTGCGGTGTCTACACAGGCCCCCAAGCTAGTGGAATCAGTGATAGATGCATCTGAGTTACTAATAGGCAGCATTGGAGAATTATTGTTGTACGTCTCTGCATATGATACGCTGGAATAATCCATTGACATTGTGGATGGAACTACACTAGGTGAAACCTGAGGTTGTGGTGTGCTAAGAGTTAATGACGATGACAAAGGAACATTAGCACTTTGCTCAAAATTATTGC